TATGGTTACAGGGTATACACATTTGAAGGTTTTTCTATTAGTATGTCTACATACATAGATGCGATTCTAGACGTCTTATCTTTTTTGACTCAGAGCTCAAAGGTAGCATTCAAAATACACTGGCAAGCTAATTGATTTGACTCTTAAAGCGTTAACATTGCAGAAACCCAATCCGTCTCCAAGCGTCTACAGCGTTCGACATGTATATGCACTCAGATTATTGATTATGCTGTTTCTTAAATTAAAAAGACTCTATAATGTAGGTTATTTATTCATTTTGTATGCATATTGTTTATATACATTTGTTTTATCTAAATAAATATTTATGTATTCAAAGCTTGCCTCGCAATTAATCAGTTCAATTTCACGTTTCATTGAATTCTGATCTCACTCTCCGTATCTCTATTTATCTCACTGTCAACTCCCTAGTGTGCGGCATTGAGTTAATTAAATTTTTGTGGCCAATGAAAGTGAAATGTAATGCAGAAAATACAATTCGCACGCCCGTAAACAATAATGTTTTCAATATATAAATAAACGTGTGCTGCACACATGGCGTATGAATTATTTTTGGATGCTGGTCGCCGGTAAAATTGTCACGTTTTTAATTAAAATCATCAGCAGCTTGACCAAACAAGCGCATGGCAGCAATCATCAATAGCAAGAGCAACAAAAACAACTATGGCGGCAACAGCAACTGGAAAAAGTTCGCATTGAAATTATAATTTAAAAATTAAAAGTTATTGCTCTGCGTGTGTGAAATTTTTAATAAGCGACAACAACAACCTGTTGCAAGCGCTCGATGCGCTCTTTTTATTATTTAATTAATTTTATTTATTTAAAGCAATTTATGTGGGTTTTTTTGTAATTTGTGTGCCTCCAAATAGGCAACAGTTTCTCAATAAGCCGCTTATTGCTGTTCATTGCAGACAATTGCATTGAAATGCATCGAATGGATATTATTGCCTTTTGATCTGCAACAATTCGATAGGAATTCATGTACTCGTATCTCTGTTGTTGAGAGGTTTCTCCATTTATTTCAACTGCTTGCTGACGTATTCTTAGAAGGTGAAATTTAATCTTTCGCACTTACTGGTCATTGTAGAACGTTCACTTGTAGCCTAAATAATTAATTTATCCTGCATCTTATACTCTCTGCTTAAACTTTGTGCTTGTTCTACATGCATGCCTGCTTTAAAATGTACAACTCGCTTTCCACGCAGACAGAGCTGTTGAAACTGAGACTAGGGCCAGCATCATTGCCTTTTAGTGCAGCCTTGGGTGTCACTACCACAGCTGTGACAGTTCACAGGCACCGAGAATAATGTGCAAAATTCAATTAGGAATGCTTAAAGGGCTGACCAGTGCAGAAGAAGCTGGCCAAAGCTTGATTTTCTGGGGAAATTCTAAGGGTCTCTGGGAGTATTGTGTTTCTAAAATCAGAGTCAGAATGTTATTGGGTTTGGCAGACAACATTAGTGCGGATATTAATTGAAATACATACTTATATACTTTTAGATTAATATAGATAGATAGATAGATAGATAGATAGATAGATAGATAGATAGATAGATAGATAGATAGATAGATAGATAGATAGATAGATAGATAGATAGATAGATAGATAGATAGATAGATAGATAGATAGAATGATAGATAGATAGATAGATAGATAGATAGATAGATAGATAGATAGATAGATAGATAGATAGATAGATAGATAGATAGATAGATAGATAGATAGATAGATAGATAGATAGATAGAAAGATAGATAGATAGATAGATAGATAGATAGATAGATAGATAGATAGATAGATAGATAGATAGATAGATAGATAGATAGATAGATAGATAGATAGATAGATAGATAGATAGATAGATAGATAGATAGATAGATAGATAGATAGATAGATAGATAGATGGATGGATGGATGGATGGATAGATAGATAGATAGACTTTAAGACTTTAATAAAATAATTTTACATTTTATTGGAACTTTGAAAAGATTAGACAGTATGAAGTTACGAAAACGAAAATGATTCCTAAAATTGAAATTATTGTTCGACCATATTCTCAATATTAATAATTTCGTAACTAAAATTGAATGTGTAACTATTTCCCATAAGTTATTTGTTCGTTTATTTTGTGGTTAAATTTTCGTTTTCTTCCAATGCTTTTTATGTAGTTGGGGTTCTATTTTAAAGCCCCAACCCATAAGCAGCTAACACGCAAGCTAAGCCAAATCTCAACTCAATCGCTGACACACACATACACGCGCATCATGGGCGTCAGTTTCGGTTTCACAAGTCATTTACAGCTCGTACGTAAAGCCACTTAATTGTTTCTGTCTTAATAAGGGTCACGTCACACACACACACCCTTACACACACATATACACATACACATATAGTACATACTCCAGATAGGGATGGAACAATTAAGCACATAAAAAATCATTTCATTACGTCTATCAAACGTTGCTCATGAGCGCCTAAGAGCGAGCAGCGATAAGTTTTTTATTACACCTGAGCCTGTTTTTCTTGCTGTATCTGTGTGTATGTGTGCGCGCTTGTGTGTGTTTCATTAAAAATGAAAGCGCTACTCATTAACTGTGCCAGCTACAGAAAATCAACAGCACCACCAACAACAACTTGCTAACCAGACAAAGGCACACGAAGCAAGATTTTCGAGTTGGCAACTTTACGCTTAAACACCCACCAGAAAACAAACACACACATACACATACACAAACGTGTGTATATAATGTTGGGTGTGTGCATTGTCTGTGTGTGTCGTGCTGTAGCATAGTTTTAATTACCTTTACTGTCGTCGTGTCCGTTGTTCGTTGCCGTTGGTATCGTTTGTGCCGCCGTTCGACTCGTTGTTTAAGTAATTGCTTGTCATTAGTTAAAATGTTTTCATTTTGCGAAACTCGCCTCACGTTGTCTAGTGTAGATGGCAGTACACTGTCGCAATTCGGCTACTTTGTAAACTTATTCCTCTATTTCAAATGCCCAATTCAAGGAAGTGGCTTATGGCAGAGTTGCTTTGGCAAAAACACAATGGGAACAACTGAGAATACAAAATATAAAACTTTATTTGATAAAACGAGTATGATTAACTGTTTAATACTTATCGCTATTACGTTGAATAATTCGCAAAGCGAAAGCTCAAACATTTTATTTTAACATACTTTTAGTTTCATCGGCTATGCACCTAAATCTGATTTTACATGGTATAAAAGGTGTGAAAAAAACCGTGTAAAAAAGACATTATTCATGTGCAAAATGAATCGTGCTAAATGGAACAAAGGCGCGTACCCATATATAAAAATTTTTTAATTTTCGAACCGTTTTAAATCAAAACCGTGGAAAAAAGACCGTGTAAGAACAGAATTAGGTGTATTTATATTTAAGTAAATTTTTTCGAATTCCTATAACTTTCCTTTGTGGACTTCGTCTTCTTAAAGTTTCATGAAGCTCAGCTGAATTGCCTGAGGTTATCCATACCAACATCGAATGTGGGTGTCTCCTCACCGTAGTCCTTGATTGCAACCATTAAACAGCCGCAGACCTGCGTGGTTTTTGCACGTGACCAGCTACTTGCATTCGAGCTTGCAGGCCCGGTCGACTTCTAGGCGACTTTTTCATCACTTCTCGCAAGCCTGCATAAATATCTCTGGCTATATTTGTATACGAACTGAAAAGTATATATTCAGGTGGACCCATTAGAATTTACTTTTTATTTTCACATTGCCCGTGTTTACTTTTACACTCAACACTTGTTTCTTTGTATTTATTAAATTCGATTATAGTTTCGAATTTGTTTTTTAAACACTTTATAGGGGACTTTCGCAAATTATGATGAACGGTTAGCTAAGAAAACTCTAACATCTTGATTACCACGTACTAAGAGCACTCATATCGGACTATAGTGCTAAGTAAATGTGAAAAGTTCCATTGCTAACATTCCTTGAATAAGTGTACTTCTGCTTTTATTAAAGATTTTGTATTAAAGCAAGAGATTTTGTATGTTGTGTCATTTTATTGGCCTAATTTTTAGTTTAACATAATTCCTACTAATATGATGCCTTATCATTTGTTGGCTAATTGCTAAGAAACTATTCTGTTCAATAAGTGATTAATTAAAAGTAAACGATTAATTAAAATGAAATGAGTAATTAATTAATAAGAAAACATTCATATTTTAAATTAAGTGCCGAAAATTGCTCGAGGATCGATCAAGGGATTTATTTGCTAGTAACTTTTATTAATAAAATTATAATTATTATAATGAATGTACGCGTGTACAGTCACATCGCAGAGCCCAGGGATGACTAAAATACAAACTTAACTAGGACAGCATGAAGCACAAATTATTATCGATATTGAGAAAATATAACTATGTATATACAAGTATATGAAATTAAACGATAGTTAAAACTTCATTTTCTTATTTACAATGTTGCTGTAAATATTTTTTATAAATTTCTCTCCAATTTAAAAAAGGAAACTTACTTTCTAGTACGATATTCTTATCGTTTTCTACAAATTACTGAAGTTATCATCAAATGTAGAAAAAGACTTATCTATACTCAAAAGTGCAGGCTAAGTTGAATTCAAATTTACATAATATTGAAAAGAATGTCGTTCGTTCTGCTATCATAAGTTATCGGAGCTAAAAATTGGGATGAATGAACACTGTTATCAGATCTATAAAAATGTATATATTGGTGTTTGAGGGAGGTATTTGCTATTTTCTTTAAAATGATTATATTTCTGATTACAGTGGTTAAATATAAATAATAAATAATTGATTGGCATTCTTTTATGGCATCAACACTCTCCTTCGATTTTAGCATAATTATATAATTTTTTTTTGTAAAACAAAGCACTCTTCTAGTTTAACTTCACTTTGTGAATTTTTTGTGTTAGCAAGCCCTGGAAATGAGTTCAGTTTTTACTCACCCATACACAAAGAAACACAGTCCGGAGCTGTTTTACAATTCAGTCTAAAACCAGACACAAACAAAAAACAAAACAAAAATACACACAGTCAATAAATAGCAAACCAAATAGAAGTTCAGCAATACAATCAGTGAACACGCAGTTAATTTTACCATTCCCTTTTCCATTTCCTTTACCATTACCCCCTTTACTTAAACGCCTTTACTCTTTACTCATTTAACAAAAGAGAAATAGAAAAAAATCTAGGAATATGGCCTTCGTCGCGCGTCGTAACAGTGAGGGAAAGGTGGTCGATCGAGTGGTCCTCACAGGACGCAGCAAAGTCTCTAGTCCGCTGCTGTCTCTGAGCGACGAGGAATCGGATGCCGAGACGCTGCAGTCCTACAGTGGTCGCACAGAAGGAGCTCCTACAGTGCGTTATACAGGATCCCACATGATGAACGATGATTGTGAGACGGATGTGGAGTCAGCTTGCATCTATGACTGCGGTGAGAGCATTCGGGATACAGATGGCGAGTCGATGGCAAACTATACAATTCGCTACGAAGATCCCTGTTGTGGCGCAGTGGGCCAGGACAGCGGCTATGGAGAGCTGGAGAGCGACTGTGAGAATGGAAAGTGCGAGGCAGAGGCTGAGACTGATGCAGATGCAGATGTGGCGACAATTAAGTGCTGGAGAGATACTAAGAGTATAGCAAGTGAGGAGGAGCGAGAGACAGTGACCGATACAGAAACATTGCAGCTGCGGGCGGAGCTGTCCAGTCTGGCCTCCTTTGAAAGCAGCACGGTGTGTGGTAAGACCGGCCTCACCGGCATTGGCGGCTCTTTGGGCAACTTGAGCACAATGACGCCCAACAAACTGGATTCTGTTACAGACCAGATGATGAATTTGGATCTAACTATGGGGGCCGAGACCTCCCTCAGTCGTCGCACCTACATACTGGGAGAGAACACGGTGCGAGGAGAGTATTGCGCCTCTCCGATGCCAGGCTCAAGACGTGACGACTGCTCATCCACCGACTCGACGTGCAGCTGGAGCGACATGTATGCCAATGCCATTCAGCATTCGGAGAGTCGCAGTAACTTTGTGCCCTCTCTTAGTTTGAACATGTCGGAGACGACGTCTTCCGGAACCTCGACCTACTATCGCGCTCTCGATGATGACAAGGTGGAGCGTCAGGGTCAGGTCGCCTATGAGGACTGGCTGTGTCGCAAAGAGCGACAAAAGCAGCAGAAGCTTCTGGCCGCCAAGCAGGAGCGGGAGCGACGGGAGGAGGAGGCAGCCCTTCGTCAGCGGCTCTCACAAGAGCGCTTTGACGCCTGGTGCAAGCAGAAGACGCAGCAGAAGAAGCAGGCGGTGAGTGGCTCTTCATCGATGAGCTCATTAAAGAGCACACAGAAGAGCGCACAAAGGGATGCATCCAAAAACAAATTGAAGGGCGCACAGAAGATTTTAGCAAAGAGCGCGGAAAAAAGTACAGCAAAAAGTCCCACAAATCAAGGTCCTCCTGATCCCAAAGCACACTTGGAGGAGTGGGAACGTCTTAAGGATAAGCAGCAGCAGCGCGAACGTGAGCGCCTACGGAAGCAACAAGAGGCGAAGATGAGAACCGAGCAGATGCGCAAGCGAAAATCTGAGATGGCATGGGAAAATTGGATGAAGTCGGTGCAGACCCGACCCAAGCCCGTTCCACTAAATCAAGGACTCGACACCCTGCGCGGCACTGTTTCCAACATTTACATAAACCCCATTGAGTGGGTCTCCAACATCGATGTGAATGACTCGCGTGGCAATTAAGAGCCACAAGATCGACCTTCAGAAGTCGCGACTCTATTCCGAAGAGCATTTGAGAAAACCACAAAAAAAGTTCAAAAACTATGTTTGTAAAATGGTTCCAGGCTACGGTTTTTGTGTTTTCACGGCCAATAGCGATTATAGGTCAACCAAAAAAAATAAACATGAATTTGTGTTTGTGGACTGATTGGCGCTATCAAAAACTTGGTGCGTTGACTCTCTAATAAACTTACAGTTGCGGACAGACACGAATTTTAGAAGTTTTGTCTGTTAGAAAAAATGCGAGGTATCCAGGTCCCCGAAATTGGATGCTTGGAAGATTGATTCTGTATACATTATATATGTACGTATATAAGGAACTGCTTTGGAAACATCTATAAACTGATGCTGAACTGCTGTTTATCTACTTAGTTTTAAAAATTTGCAGTTAAAATTTAAAAAATGTTTAGGAACCGTTCTCCAGACATTGAGGCGAAAATGTTGTATATACAAGTACTCGTACATATAGTTGATTTCATGGTGCCCTAAATTTAACTTGCACATAGTTTTTCTTGCAGTGCACTGCTCACATAACCAACCAAACTGTACCAATTATAATCGTTTTAATTACAAAGCACGGACAGTTCATATAAGTGGATATTTCCGGCCATCCCCCATCTGCCATACTTGGAAAAGTATTAATATACGTCCCCCAACGATGTTCTGAACTGAAAAGCGTTAGCCCTGCTTTGTAATAGTCCCCATGCTAGATAGTTGTCCACCCACCAGTTTCTGCTCTTCCTTGTTTACCGGTTTGTCCTTGTCAATTGTGAACCGTTTCTACTATATTTGTTTATTTTTATGCCCATTTGTGTGTCAATTTGTGTTTTTATTATTTATTTGTCAGCTCCATGGGGAGTTCGGGTGGCTTAATTAAGCTTTTTCCTTGTTGCTGCTGCTGTTGCTGTCCTGCCGCATGTTACTTTTATTTATGCAATTAACCAAAGCTGCGTGTAATAAAGTCCAGCTAGCTGCAGGACTCAGGACCCAGGTAAAATCTTTGATTAATTGTAGTTTTGTTTACACCATGAGAGCTATAAATGGGTGTATGTGTGAGTACGTGTGCTCGTATGTATGTGTGTCGGAGTGTGTGTGTTGTCTTGTCTCTCTTTCAGGTGATTAGTGGGCTTGTCCTTGCTGTTAACTAAGCTTTGGCAATTTGTTTACATGCAGGAGCCTGTTCGGTGTAGTACCGTTAATCGCTTTTTAGGCCTCGTTACTATCATTATCATTATCATGGGTGGCTATAATGGATGCCATATGAACAGCGTCCTATATTCTATGGGTGTGTGTGTTGTGTCTGTCATGAGGAAGTAGGGGATGGCTAGAGATAGAAAATTGAAATTGAAAAAATATCTGAGTAGTCTGCAATTATTGTGAGGCTTGGTTTATTATGGTCTTTTATCAGAAATAAATGCATACAAATGGAAACTGACACAGTAGTATCCAAAGCTCCTAACAAACAGTTTAGATTGGAATTTAAAGAAAGTTTCATTAAAATTGTACAGCGTTCCAATTCAGTGATCAGTAACGATTGATGATAATTTGCTGTTTAAAGAATGCTTAGAAAAATAAATATCAAAAACTGTCTGTTTTAGGCAGTTTGCCTATGGAAACGGTATCTTGGCAGGATTTTTCTTTGAGCCATACTCGGCCGACATCCGTTGAGCAATTTCCCTTATTCAATTCTCCCATATGGGCACAAATCATTGCCTACTTACAGGCCGCAAGCCGTGTAGCGCCCCAAGCTGCCAGTTATTTACAATTTAAGCGTTTTGTTGTGTATGGCATTTGTACTTTTTTCTTTCCGGGCTGGGCTATAAACTTTTATGTCAAATCGTAAAACTAAAAAAAAAAAACAGCTCATCGCCGATTTTGCAACCAAAAGTTAATGGCACTTTGCGGCTGTCTCGGGGACACCGATGCTCATATGCTAGGGCATTAAGCTCGAGCGACATGCATAATCACTATAATGACAATGACAAAATGTTAATGTAAGCTGCCTTGGGGCACGCTGTAGAATTTTTTACGGCCGCCTATAAATTAAAAAACAATTTGACGACAGTGCCTTGACGCAGAACAAATTTGCTCGAATTAATGAAGGCTATTGCCACTTGCTGCCACATTTAAAATAATTTTCGCTCATTTAAATAGCAATTAGGAGCAAGGCGCACACACACACATACATACAAACTAATATATAAACAAAACTATGGCAATAAAACAGGCATTGACACTAAAAGTGTACGAAAATTTATGCAGATTAACACAAATTTGTGTTTGTCGCATTTTAAATGCAAATCAACGGCAGCCACAACAATAACAACAACAATACGAGTGCCAACAATTATAATAAATAACCTAAGCAACACAAAAAAAAAAGAAATGCGAAATGATTCGCTCAGGGGCTGTCGCGCACACAAAGAAATTAATAATAAATCTCAAAATGCTCATTAACTTAATTACTGTGTTTATTTTCATTGCCCTTCCGCTGCCGCAGTTCCTGGTGAGCTGCGCCGAATTTCTTCCTTTTCGGTTTTTTCGGCAGCGGTTCCTTTATTTTTCACTTCAGCGCCAGCCTTTGTGGACATGCTTTTTCTTTCTTTGGTGCGTCACGCAATTTTTTGGAGCTGGTAACGGCACAGTGGGCGAAATTATTGATTCAGCAGCACATTGTTTTCAACGTCAAGAAAGAAGTAATTTTTTACACAATCTGTGATATTTTTTAGAATTTATCCGCTCTTTAAAAGGTCTACACTGCGGTGGAATATAATGTGTATTTAAATTCAAACTGTTGCACAAATAATTTCAAATATTTCGAAAAATACAAATAGAATCCATCCACTTTTAATTTCTTATATAATGTAGTGGAAGTTTATTTAATATAAGGCGAATAATTACAAATGTATTTCTTCATTATGGTACTGAAATGAAACATTAGTTGACGAAACAAAATGTGAGGAATACTTAGGACTTGCATTTTTTCAATAATTCTTGTAAATCAACTGAGAATTTCAACCACCGTGAGGGATTGCCGAGCTCCATTCGACATCGTGCATTTGTGATAAACAACTGAGCGGCAGCGACGAGAAAAAAATAGCCCCAGAACATGAAAAAATTGCGCGTCTTTAACCTTAATGTGTATTTAAGTAATGTTAATTGTGTAGCACTGGCAGCTGGCAGTTGGCCCTCGCTATGCGGCATTCGGCATTCGGTGTTCGTTGCCTGTTTTGGTTTCATTTCAATTTAACATTCGCATTGGCATTCTTCTCCTGCCAGCACGCTGGTTTCTGTTGATTTTGGCGCATTTTCTTAATTATGTAAATTTGTACATTTGAAGCATATCTGAAAAGTTTCACTTTTGTTGCTTTTGCTTAGGCTCCATTGTGTTTCTCAATTGCTGGCTACCTGTTAATTGAATTTCTGCAAGTGTGTGAGCAGTGGCTGAGTGAGTTGCCCAATAATTGTAACGTTATTTAGTACTTATCTTAATGTTCAAGCATTACACATTTAAATCAATTTATGTTCAACATATTGCTTCTTTCCAAAAGCAGATTAGCACGTCCGATTAGTTTAACATGCTGCTTGACTATTGAATTCAAACAAATTTTAATATCACGGATTTGTATTAAAGCTACGAATTTTTAGCACAAAATCTTCGCCCAAATTTAGTGAAATGTACGTTTGAGAACAAATTGCTTCGATAAGATACACACAATTAGAATGCTGCGGAATTGTTCTTTTTATCTAACGATGTTTCAATTGACGAGCGGCATTCTTCATATTATACCGATAGTTCCAGTTTCGCTAGACAGAATAATTGTGAAATAATTTAATTAAACGCAAACTGGAACGAGGCCAATAACTACTGCATTCGAAAGAATTTACACCAAGCCGGAGTTCAAAGCTCACATAACCATAAAATTGTTTCAGGATTTTAATTAAACAGTCATTACCTTTTCTTTTATATGAAAATGGAACGAAAATTGTATAGAACTTCTACAAAATAGTAATTATTATAATGACAGTAGATATTTGACTATAAACTGATATATTTTTGAGGAATTTAATCGTTTAAAAAAGCTTTGAAAAGAGTATAAATATCAAAGCGATCGAGCTTACAGGAATCACTTTAATTTACAATACCTAAGCAATGATTTGAAGCTTTAAGGCGTTTGGAAGTTAGTGAAAAAATTACTGTTTGATTTTTTATACCCGTAGGGTAAAAAGGACACATTAATTATAAATAAATTATATATATTCTTAATTAGCATGACGAGAGAAATGGATCTAGACATGTCCGTCTAGATGAAAGTCTGGATTTCGGAAACGGCAGAGCCCACACAAATTTCGCCAACTGAAATCGACCACACATTCAGTATTATGGCGCGCTATTTCGCCTTAAAATGGAACTGAGTTGCATTTTTTGAAGTTTCTCTGTTGATTGTATAAATAAACTATTATTTTAGAGACACCGAGCATTATATAATCACAATTGTGATGCCGACAGCATATTCTAGCTTTCATACTTTCAGAGATCCTCGCTTGTATACGAACAGGCGGCAAGCAGACGGACGAACAGATTTTATACTCTAAGGGGTTTGCTTTTAAAGTTGGCCCAAGATCGGCCTGCATCCCCTTGATATGGGGGACGATTGGCAAGGCTTTTTTGTGTTCTCCTCTGCTTCAGCCTCTATTTCAATTGCCAACAGCCAGAACCGTTAGCATCTGCTCGGGTGGTGCAGGTATTACGTTTCATATCTGTGCCTTTTACCGTTCTGTTGATTTGGCTGCTTGAGCTTTCCGAGTCGCTGATAGAATCACTTTTATTCAGCGCTTCCGTTATCCTACCTTAGGTATACAAGTATTGTTGACGCCATGATATTCCGAACTTTTCAAATAGTTCGATATGGTGATACGGTGGTGGCCTGTTCTGTTTTACTTTTACTTTTATCCCACCTTAATGCATGGTTTTGATTTTAATCTGTTCTTTATTAGTAAGTTCGTTCAACGGGACGTTTTGAACTACACTGAATATTTTTTACCCCATTCAAGTAGAATTTTTAGTTTAATATGAATTCAATGATTTTGTCTATTTAATTGAAATAGTTATGACACAACTTTATTTAAAAGAATATCACTGTGCACATACTGTAGTATACATCAATTTTTTACGATGTTCATGACTAACTATTCGTAACAGTTGTAGTTCCAGCACATAAATCAGTCCATTTAAAACATTTCAACACCTTTCAATATTTTCGACGGCACTGAAAACCATTTATAGCTGACAGTGTCATCCGTTTGGCTAACTACTTAGTAGGCTTATTAGCTTTACTTTCATTGAACTCAACGGCTTTTACTATCATCCATTCACGAGTAGATACGCGTATGCATATTGGTATGCACAATACTTTAACCTTGAATGGTAGCTTTAGTTTTTTATGCAAAAAAAAAAAACAACGAAACAAAATAAATGATTCACAGAAAAACTGTAGAAAAAGTGGCGAGTGGTATAAAAAATCTCTAAAAATAGGTAAACAAAAAGCTCGACACGTAACCAGACAGCTCAGTGGCAGGTCCGATTGGTAGTGCTGGCTGTGGTTGCAGATGTTTTGGCATGTTTGAAAATTCCTGGAAACTAATGTAATAAAAACTACTTGCCTTACACGCACACACACACACAGACACACGCACACAAACGCAATGTGTGTGTTAAGCTTTTTATGAGCACAGCTTTGAAGAGCGCGAGTCCAGAGACTTTTGCGTGCTCGGCTGCACTTAAAGGCCGAGCAGCTTAATTAAGGCGCATTTTTTGTTTTATTTCGAAAATTTGTTGCTAGTTTTAGTTCGCATTTTTTAGTGTTAGTTTATATACTTGATGCCTTGTAGGTAATTTATGCACATTGTTGACATTTTGATGACTCAAATCAAAGTACAGGCTCCATTAAGCGGTCGTTTGTTTGTGAGCCTCGGTAAAGCTGATGAATGTTTTGAGGAATATGATTAAATATAACACAAATACTTGCACACATTTTTTGATGTAATATTATATTTCAATTCATGAATTATTTATTTAATTCAATTGCCAGAAAAAGTATTAACAAATTATTGTATAAAGGTTCATAAGACATAGCGCCAAATAAAGTTGTTGACTATTGATTACATCATGAAAATAAATTGGGTAGAAATGAATATTTATTGGATGAAAATAAATTAAGTCGTTTAAATTAAATTAAGATAAAATGTATGATTAGAATGAAGGAAATTTATTAAGCCACCCAATATTCTTTCTTTTTTAAACGAAGGAGTATAGTAGTGTTCATTATTGAAATTTCAATAAAACTTTATTTAAGTCAACATAAGCTTTAGAAATTAAACCGACAAAGTCATCATTCCAGAGCATGATGATTTCAAAATTATGTTTTTAAACGTAAGCAGTGTTTGAAAAAGCTGTCTTGTGATATTATGTTTAATAATCAACAAATTACAATTTAACTGATTTATTTATTTCGATATACCTTTAACAAAAAATGTTTCTGCATCTTCAGTCCAATTAAGTATAAAATAACTTAACTTTGCATACGTTATTAAGATGTAATTATCTACCTGCACTGCATTCTAGTCGGTTAATTCTAAGAAAACATATTAGCTAATCAACTTAACATATACTTTGGCTTTTACTATTTTGACTTTGAGTCTTCATATACTCATATACTCTTTTCTAAAGTGGAGCTTATACTAATGGTTCCTGGCCATAGATCACTGGCTTTGCTCAACTCCTCCTAGTGACTTAAGAGGATTGCTTTTCTGACACCCTGGCTTCCAATTGTACTTCGTTGCCATATGCTGAAAGCACTTATGGTTCCAGTTCATTCATTCAGAAGTAAATGTTTATATGCATATTTTTACTTACCCAACAACATTGAAATGGGAAATAAAACTGAGACACTTTTGGTTTTACATAACGTTTCACTGCTGGTTTATTTTATAAATATTCCTGTCGTTTGCCAAGTTTGCTCAAACTTGTAACTTACTTGTCATGTACACACATATACCGCTTATTCAATATGTGATAGCTTCATTTTAATAGAATTTCTTTATTATTTGAAGTTTTTGATGGCTATATAACAATTTTAACTGCAATTTGCTTATTTTTTACAACTGCTAATACGTATATAATAAATAATTTGTAATATATTTATACTCGTATATATTTTTCATATTTTCATTTAATGCCAAATTAGAACGGTTTGCTGTATATTTTTATCATATTTGCTTTAGCTCATTGATTTTTTCCATTCATACGCGCAGTTGTTTCCTTGTAAAATATTTGATTTGTGTTTTTATTCATATTTTTGCCAAATATATTAAATATATGTATTTTGTATGCCTAATATGCTGATAAATGATATGTTTTATATATGGTTTTAATGCATTTACTCTTATGTTTCTGTATTAGTTCTTAGCTGGATGCACAAAATCCTTTTATGTCCTCTACAACACACATCGTTTGCCACAACATAGACAACATTACTGTGCCTTAATTCTAATGACCTTAATCGTTATTGTATTTAGACATTATTCATTTAATGTTTAATCGGAATGTACATTAATTAAACGTTATTTTGCACACATACAGTCTCTTTAATTATATCCATTGATTTTATACACAAATTATAATACATACACCACTGTTTGGATTCATGCATTCCCTTTGTTGTATGCTATGTACATGTGCCATTATTTGCATATACTTTAGTATGTATATATGCGTATATACTATATATATTACACAATGCTTATAATAGATTTAGCTTATGCTGCGAATAAACAGCTCAACATGCATGCGCCGTTAATAGCGAGTGTGAAAGAGAGCTAGAGAGGGGGACTAGTGGGAGCGGTAAGGAAGCCTGATTGACTTGTTAGCTGAAACTTGTTACTTGAAACTTGTCAAACTTTAACTAAAATGTTGCGCCATAAATCAGCACTAAATACTCCAGCAGCATATGACATTGACAAACTCAATCAACATCATCATCTTCTTCATCATCCTCATCAGTGGCAACCGAATCAGAGCCAGCGCCATCATCGCATTGTTCCTCCAGTGGCTGAAGTTGGGGCAGTTGCCATTCGGCCCCGTCAGTGTCAAACATGTGTTTGTGTTTGCGGCAACAACGTCTGTTGAATTTTTTGCCACAGCGTTGTTGGCAAGGCTGTCAGCATTGTCGTCATCCTCGTCATCCTCGTCCTCATCGACGTCAAAGCCAGCAACAACAACATGAAGCCCCATCTCACATGGCTCTGATGGCTTTGGCGCAGTGACGCAGCTGCCGAGGCTTGGCCATATATGCTGTCCATGGTCTCGGCACTAAGACTCAGATCGGCTGTGGGTGGCGTAAAATTTGTTGTTTGGATTTCAGATTATAGGCGGAAATTGGCAAAGCTTAGATATGCGGCTTATATCGTATGTGCTTGTGTATTAGCGCGCACTTCAAAGTGATTAGCTCTGTAAGAGATTCGCGTAATACACTTAGCTGACTATATGATAACTATCGCGGTTTGATGGTGCTAAGATATTGTCCCTGAAGCACAGCATGAGAAGATTTTAAGTAGTTGTGTTTGTGGTTTCTATGCTGAAATGCTTTGTTATTTCACACTGCTACCTTTGTAGCAAACGGCTGACTTTTTTACTAATCGATTACTTTTTAAACTTATCCTAACGTAAGCTTTCCCATATAAACTACTTTCTATACCATGAAGCCAAAAGGATGATTTCTAAGTAAAATTAACAAACTGATGAAGCAGCGCGACTCGGAAAGGACATGGAGAATTTGTGTTACGCCTAAGCTTCATTAAAAGTACTTGGAATATTCAATATCCGTATAAAAAAAGAGACCTAAATAGTTTCAATATTATTTTGAGCAACCTGTGTATTCAAGACAACATTTAACACTCCCTTCTTCAGTTCAAAGCCTATCATAATCTCATATGTCCGGAGATGTAACTCTTCCCTTTCTTTTTACAAGTGATTTGATGGCTTATATTATGTATTTGTTTCTCGCTTCTTATAAACCCTAACAAGCACTGAATAATTTGATTTGGCAATTTAATTTCTGTCAATTCGCAATCGGTATTTCCTATTTAAACACTTTCAGATGCCTTTAGCCTACATCCATTTGAATTGTACAAAATTAAAATGCACAACACAGTTAAGCTATAAAAATAAATTCGGAAGTTCTTTATTGTCGTACAACAACTTCTTCGTAACAACATTCCTCACTCCGTCACAGGCTAGCCACAAAATTTCAGCCACAAAAGAATTTATTTTTATTGAAGCCAAGTATTTACAAATCATTAAATTGCCATAAAGCCAAGCCGAGCGTGTTTATTGATATACAATTATAAGGAGTCCCAAGACAGGGATAGGTAAGGAAAGGCGGTCGAAAACTTTTACCAGTCCTTGTTACCAAAAAGTATGCTACGATTTTTTCGCTGCCACTTATTTGCACAACCTTTCTTGCTTTTGGTTTTCCTTTTATTTTTATTGGTTTGCCCGCCACCCAAATTAGTGTGAAAATCTGTTAAACAGTTCGAGCTTCCTCCGTTCCCCACTGTCCCTTCATTTATATTTTTTATGCGCGCCGTCTCGAGTGGCCTGTTAAGCTTCCTACGCCGCTGGTGTGGTCTGACCGGCATAAATGCTTGAAATATGACCTGTAACCCTAATCTACAGCGCGCACACACAGACACGGGAACGCCCCACAAGGCTGGCAGCTTACCTTTTCGTTTACCTGGATTCTCCATATCCTCGCCGCTGTGCTCCTGCGCTCGCGCTGGATGATACATTTCGGAGCTTTTCGTGCGTTTTTTGCCTGGGAAATGAAGGCAAGCATTCAAAGATTATTGAGTTCCTATTAAACTCTACATAAATGTGGTGTACTGAAAGAAATTTAATTTGCTTCGCCCAGGAATTATAGATATTAATTAACTAATATTATTTGAGAAATATATGCAAAGCATTTTGAAATTTCTTGGACTTGAAATCCTTAAGGGCATCCTAAAATAATATAAAATTATTATGCTTGTGGTAGTCCAAGGTTTTCGAAGTGACAAAATTTCCCAACCATAGACATGATTAATAATGGCATAAGCTTGGGGCTAATGTTCTAAATTTTGTTTTATAGTCTATTTATTTTATAGTCCAGCCAGCCATCTCGGGTTTACTGAGCCCGATTCTACCTCGGGCCTTATTGGGAACTTTTTAAATTATTTTATCTACAAGTATGTGTGATTAGTAACTAATTCGTAATAAACGGCTCTGATAAACATCTTTAGATTAAAGCAATGAAAGTTGGTCTTTATTAATATTAATATAAATTTAAGGGTAATTAAAACTTTTAAGAGACAAGTTTTTATCCAAAAATTCTAAAACTCTCTCTGCGCTAAAACAATTTCGTGAGACTAATTTCCTAAAATCTTCATCTTCTACGAAACAAATAGGACTTTGCTAAAACTGCATTCAACTTAAACTCTTGTATGTCATTGCTTTGGTTTTAGGAATAAGACACAACTTTTTAAGTCAACTAGAATTTAAAGTTGCAAAGAAATATACTAAAAATTTCTTCGCCTGCAGCGCAGTAGGCAACTTATTAAAAATGTCTGCGGAAATACATACATATTTATAATAAACTCGACGTAGTTTGTTGCTTTTTCATTGCATTTAAAAAAAGGAAATCCTTTTGACCTCGCCCACAACCTTTTGCATTTAGCACGACCCCAACTAACCCGCAACTGCCTTTCTATTCGTGTCTCTCTCCTCTAATACTGTGGCGTTGACGATTTGTCACGGATTTGCATGCCGAATGAATTATTTATGTTTTTTCTCTCGTGGGCGGTTGTCGACCCACTGCGGCTGTTGTTGTGTTTTATGATTGTGGTAAGCCTGCCAAAGTGAAATATTTGCCGCTCATCTTAAATTTATGCCAAGTGACTATTAAATCCGCCTCTTTTTTCAGACGCCTCCATCCCAGACTCAGTGCATTTTCTCTCTCCTCTTTTTCAATTTCTACTCACCTTTGTGCCGTGCTTCATAGTTATCCACATAATTCACAGCGTTCGGTGGTATTCCTGGTGAAGAAGAGAAGGAAGAGTTGTTAGTCATTACTTTTTTTAGATGCGCAATAAATAGGTGGCAAGCAAGTATCAGTTATATAAATTTCAATAGACAATAACTGCATTTCCCACAACAAAAGTGTTCGTTTAAGGAACTCCAATGGGGTGGGAAGCTGAGCTGTTAATAATATTTGCAAATATATGTTCTAGAAGTGAATTCCGGACTATTGAGTGACCATAACTTCTGTTCTTGATAACATGACGGTAGTAGTCAAGGACAAGTTAAAGACCTGAACACGAATCCAAAAAAACTCAAATAAGAAAACTGGGTCAGATTGGGTAAAACGGAAATTTACACTTTAGAGGCTACGCAGAACCACAACTGTTCCAAGAAAATGCTTATACTATGGACTTTCATGTCTATATTTATTAAATAATTATGTAGGGCTGTTTTGTTAAGTAATAATTATTATCTCGTGGTCAGAAATACATATTGCAATATTAAAACTGAATTTTTGGCAAAATATATCAGAAAGTTACGCAGAGGTTTAAGGAGACAAGATAACGAGACTTACGAAGAATTCAAGAAAGCGAGAAAATTAACAATATTCAGACAACGTTTTTCTACTGAAAGCGTGTACTTAAAATTCGCATTCATCAGGGACAACTGATCACTGATCAGTCCCTGCTGAATAAACTGATCACCGATCATGATCACCAAATTTAGAGATCATTATCACTTAAAATCATCATAAAAATAGAATGATTCTGATGATTTCTGATCAGTTTTAATCAGCTGCTCACACATGGGTATGTGCATGGGCAAGTAAAACGAGTAAAATGGCAGCTGAATTTATTTTAAATAAATTAAATGACAACTTTCTCAATGTTGAAACTAAACACACTAGTCTCGCGAACTTAGAAGATCCAAGTCTATTTAAAAAATATCGGCCATTAAACAAACAAAAAATTGTTCGAAGTGATAATTAAATTGACCAATTTAAGGAAAATTGTAGAGTGCGTCGGAAATCTTTCATTCATCATTGATATCTTTTGTTGAAACATTTAAAAGAAATATAAAAATATTTTGCTATAACTAATCAAATCAATATGCCTTTCGAATTAATTTTTTTGTTAGCCTGGCGTTTTTGTAGAAATGTTCTACGCCGTAAGTAATAATTTATCTCTACTTACTGTATAGTTTGATGGTACCGTCTGTGTCGCCGAGTGAGTTTTTGGCCACACACCGATAGGCTCCGAATTCTGCCTGTGTGAGTGGATTGATGTGCAGTTTCATGGCATTCCGATAATCGCCGATTTCTGTGACATTTGCTGAATATTTGCCGCCTGCAAGATATATAAATAAATTGCGGTTGATCTCTTTTTTAGTTCATATTTCATTAAAATAATATACTAATTAATATTTAATTGAAATTCATCGTTGATAAATAATTAAAAGCATATCACACACACGCCCAAACACACACACAAACACACACAATGCTGCATGAGAGTGCTTAAACTTTATGTGTTGCTGACATCTTGGCAAGCAGGCAGGAAGCAGCAGTAGCAGAAAAAAATAAAACCAAGCATTAAATTTATGCATGAACGCATGTCACACTTCCACACACACACACACTCACACACACAGAGAGTCGACACAGGGCAGCTGTCGGGAGCGTGCTGCCAATTAAAATGTGGCAAAAACAAAATGTAAATGAATTTTATTTGCATTTATGACAAAATAAAATGCAAAACAAAACAAAACGAAACGAAAGCAAAGCAAATCAAGGCGAGGAGCAGCCTCAACCTAGGCTCGCCCTCAAACAAAAAACACAGCCTCGAGTTGAGTTCACATGCAATTTTAATGACCAACTAAATGCGCGTGTCTGTGAGCTGCTCAGACAGGCGAGAAACCGCACAGAGACAGCAGCCACTGAGTAAAACGGAAGTGAAGAGGGGGTGGGCGGAAGTACAGTTACTAGTGATGGGAAAGATGAGGCTTTTCAGACACGGTTGTAGCTGTGATTCCGAATTGCGACTGCAAGTGCAAAAAAATAACTTTTAATAAATGAAAGACAGCTATCAGTAATACCATTTAAGGCAACTATATACATATACGAGAACATATGGATATCGTAATTGTTAAGTTTATAAATACTCCTGATGCACTGAAATGCTATTGTTTATTGTTTCATTATTTCCACATACCGTTTAAATAAAGACAATTCATTCAGATATGTGATTGATGGAATTTAATAGAGATTTATTAAGATATATACATATTGCTAAAAACGATGTTTTTCAGTCAACAATTCGAATTCCAAATCAAAACAATTCTTTATAGATTTTATATTAATACCGACGTGCAAACTGAATTGAGTTGAAAGCTAAAAGTTTCCTATGTTTTGTTTAAAATCTGTTATAGTTTCATGGCAGTTTAATTTCTGATCGTTTTTATTCTATACTCTTTTCCTTTCGTCAACTGGTAGCGCAAGCTTTATATCATTTGAGATCTAAACATCAGTTAGGTTTAAGGCCAATCTTTTTATCGACATGACTGAAGTTCTTTTAAGAGGTTCTATGTTCTGTGTATAGTGCACTTCAAAGTTTTGTTGTTGTTGTTGCCTTTATAATATAATTCTTTCGAGCTTGGCAGCAAGTTTCGTCTAATCATTTTTATATATTTTAAAACATTTATTATTATTATTAACATCAAAATAAAGAACAAGTAAAGTATAAGAAAGTACTTTAAGGCTGTTGATTGCGAGTTTAATATCATATTTAAATTTTCATTTAAAACTTGTGACGATCAGCTTGTATATATGTATATATAAATGCTGGATGTACTCTAGTGCTAGTAAACAAATATTTTTATTGAGTTTTAACTGATTATTTCATAGTGAACATAATTCTCCAGTCAATTATCCATTGCCCTGATAACTATTATAATTGAACCACATTCCAGAATTAGCTCCTGAAAATATTCAAATTGACAGAGGCTTATTATTTCGTACACCCAAAAAATAAATTTCGATTCAGCCTAGAATTTACACGATGTGTTATGGAGGGTAGCAGTCTCACTAAGTCGACTAAGTCGCAGTCTGTGATTTTTTGGGCATCACAGGTGTTCGAGTCTGTGGCAGACAACTCTCATTAGATTTGGCACATGGATATACTATGTACACGTATATGAAAGTTTTTTGCCGCGGTTTTGGTTTCAAAAGTCGTATAACAACTAAATCAGCTAATTAAAAAGTTTTCTACTGCACTCAACGGTCATCAGCATCAGCTCATCGCCAGTTACTCAGTTAGTTGTCGGGTTTGGATACGCTTGCTTAAATGGGTAGTGGAAAGGTACTATTACTAATGTGTTTGTCATATACATTAAAAAATATAAGAGTATTGTGTATATTTAAATTTGTTTTTCATATTTATTTAACGCGACATTGCCATTAGTGTTAATGAGTTTTTTGCCATTTTAGTTGTACGCTGCGGGGTACTGTCATTATGTTATTATTATTATAGTCATTTATCAATACTGAACAATATAGTGTAGCTGGGGTCTAATTAGCTACTGAGCTGTTCAATCAATTGTTGTCTGTTAATTTAAGGGGTAGATTTCTTTTAATCGACCCTTATTCGGATTTCAGCGTCGATTGAAAAGATAAGTAAGTTTGGGATTGCTTGGGATTGGATTTTTAGTGGATGAGACTGTATATATTTATTATTTATATATACTTAGCTCTTTTCATTTCTCTAAAGGAAGGAGGTATTGTTATCCGAGAAGTTAATTGTACCGCTTTGGAATGTGGTTCAATTATACACATACTTTTCATATAAATTTGGGTATAAATCTTGTCGGTAATAAGTTAACGTTTCAATAATCCACATAAATGTGAGTAGATAAAGGTACTATATTTTGTTTCCAGTGTGATAGACATGTCTTGAAATTCATCACATGAGTTCATTTAAAGGATTTACTTACCCGGTGGTACAATTTCGCCGCGTTCACGTGTCCAATAATTAATCGACTTGGGATATGCCTCCGATTGGCATTCCAAAGTAACAGCTTTGCCTTCCACAGCACCAATCAGTTGATTTTGCACGGTAATCATAGGAGGAACTGAAATAGAGTAAAAAGAGAATACGCACATAATAAGTATATATATCTGTTGATTCAAAGTATGCTTATACTTACAGTGCACCACTAGCGTGATTCTCTTGCTGACTGAAGGTGGAACTCCGTTTGAGGCAATGCACAAATAGGCGCCCATGTGCTGGCGCTTAACGCGCGGTATTATCAAATCCGTACCTTCAATGCTGGGTACTGGAAAATAAATAAAATATTTACCAGAATATAGTAAAAGTTGGACAAAAAAAAGGTACGTATTAAAGATACGTTTGGCTAACTGTATAATCAGTAGCAAAATTTGAAAATAGTGTAAATACATTTTAAAAAGTTATAAAAATTGCATCACTCCAGAGTTGATTTAATAAACTATCGATGTATTAATTAAATTCTATGTAAAAAAATATTATTTCTTTCTAGCAGTTTAAGATTCTATAGAACAGCTTAAATTATTAAGTCATTTCCAAATGTTTAGTTATATTTGGAGACGATAAATAACCACAAACTTGACAGTATTTTCAAATAATTGGTCAACAAATGGAAAACATTATTTAAAGGATGTGCAGACATTTGATGTAAGATATCTGGCATGGAACTTCTGATGTGTGGACACCTCACGTGTAGACATCTGATGGGCAGAATTTTGATGTACAAATATGTGGTATATAGGCATCTGACGCGAAAACATCTGATGTGTAAAGATCTTATTTGTAGACATTTGATGTGTACATATCTGATGTACTAGTGATAAACGGGGTTATTGGTGTGTGTAAAACAATAGATTTCTTTTATTACTAACCGATGCTTCGAAACCCTTGATATTAGACACGACATTCAATTGATATTCCCTAATTGTTCAATTCCATTTAGCTGCCTAATTTCCTTTCACTACAATTTAAGCTAATTTGATGGAGCCTGTGAATACTGCTTTCATGCATGGCACAACTTTTTGAGCAACTAAGTCGGAAGGTTGCATCACCATAGCAGCAAATGTTAGCCATGTAATGTATCTATTACATTTGCCTAAGCCTTTTAGATAGCCAAATAGTAGTTTGTCCGACGACAGCAGACAGTAACATTTTGAATATGGCAGCAGTGAAAACTTTTAGCGACTTTTATGATGATGCTGCCGCTGTTGCTGGCAGGATCCGCATCCCACCTATGAGCACCACAAACATCCTGTGCTGATAGTCGAACTGGGTTTTTATTATATAAATTGCATAGTTAAGCCGGTAGTTGCATAGACGGCAACTAAGAGCGATGCTCCAAAATGTCTGCCTGCCGTTGTGTTGACCGGAAGCGGAAGTGTTGGTTAGTTTGCGCTTGATATTGTTACGTATACGCATAGTATGGCTAATAATAAGCTGATTTCTCGTTTATTGATTTGCAAGCGCAACGAGAACGGTTACTTTAATTTGGCCACATTGGTTATTAGTCGCGCTTTTTGTGGTCATTAAACGTAATAGCCATGCCAAGAGCCGAACAAAAAAAAACCATCTGTAATTTGGTTTAAGCCAAAGCTACGCCGCGGCAAAAATGGCATAAAAACTTTTGCCCGCCATGATTTCATTCGCAACGAAACCAAATAATCAAGCAGCAAATAAAAAAACTTTGACCGTGCAGGCGGCTTCTGTAAAACAAGTACAACAATTTTAAAATAAAACACATACACACACATACACACACACACATCCGCACACACAGCACTACTTCAATGGCCAGCCGGCCGTGCGGTGCAGACATTTAAGCCAACAGCGAAAAGGTCATTTTGGTCAACTTTTGTTCTATTTATGCTGATTTTTTGTAAGCAGGTTTGCTGCTTCCTCTTTTTTCATTTTATGTTTATTTTCGTTTTTCATGTTCGCGTTTTTTTCCTTGTGCCTTTTACTGCCCACCTTTGATTTTGGACTTTCGTGTGGACTTTGTTTTTTGTTGTTTTCTTTTTCATGCCATAACTCATGCAATGAGCTACACTTTCAGAAAGGGCGCCTTAATTTCTTATCGAAATATAAAAAGTAACTAAAATATCTATTTCTGAAATAGTTCGTAAGTAATTGTTCTTGTGTTACTTTCATGTTCAATAATTATCTCCAGGGTCAGCTTTAAATACAGTTTCAATAATTCACACTCATGAAAACTGAATCAAATTACTTTTAATACTTGCCCCTGATATTTTATATTTATTTAAAAAGTATTCTCAATGGAGCTTGACACTTGACACAATTGTTGCCAATAATATATCTGTGTTAAGTTCTGTTTAATTTATTTGTGTAACCAGAATACAATACTTATGTTATGCTGTGATCAAATCTTTGTACAGGGCTAGGTAATTCTAAGCTTTAAATATGCATCTATATATCTGCAGGTGGCCTTTATCTAATAAAATATAAATATTTACATAATAGAGCAGATTTTGACAGTGGAAATTGTTTCTATATGATTGATTTTTATGAATATGAAGCTCTATACCTAAATAAACATTATAAGCATTTTAAATTGTCTTCAGAGGACTACAAATCGAGGAGGATAAGTCATCAAATGGGAACTATTTCTGTATAATATTGTATTGTAAAGTATTAAAAGTCTGTGCTTTACTGAGACAAAAGTATTTGTGGTGCCAGATGTCTGTGCTTGCGATAGGATTAAGCGAGGCCGCCACTACAACTTACTGCGTGATCTTCCTGGAACTTAAAATATACGTAGACGGTTGTTTTGCGTTTGTAAAGGGAGGAAGATTTTTTATTGAAAATGATATTGGGATGCACTTAGTGGTTATTTATTTGGCACTTTTGCTACAGCATCGGAATTGTTGTTTCATTTTATTCTTCAATGGACGGGAAACCAAATTAATGTTGTACGGTAGCACTACGATTTACTTCACTAGTTCATTTAAATGCTGAAGAATATGCTGTGTTATTGAAGTGTTTCGCCTACAAATCTGAGGTTCCTAAAAAGTTCAAGAGAACAAATGTCAAAACGGCGCAGTTTTCAATGTTAAGGAAGTTAACAAATTCTGAAAAAGTGTGGCGACAATCGTGCAAAAGAGAGAGTTAGGTAAGGTTAAGTTGAAATGGCTGGATTGTAAATTATCGCTCCCCCACTAGGGCGAAGGCAGGCCCATTGTTATGCCATATTATCTTATTTTATTATGGGTCCACCCTAAGCCACTCGGAACTCTGAATAAAGTTCTCTGGATATCCAGGCGATGGTCCACAAGATCTTCCAGAAACGGTATCCCCATAGCAATGAGTATGCCTCTGCTTAGGGCAGGGCAGTCTCTAAAACTTCTGCAGAAGTTGTGAAAGGGGATGCCAAGTCTGGCCCCTACAAAATGTAAAATATCTGCCTTTCCTAATCTTAGTGTTTCAGAAGTTCGGTTGGAGTTTAAAATTGGCCAAGTCAACTTGTCATTTTGCATTTTCCCTCTATGTTTCTGTATCCTAGTGCCCATAAGAGACTTATGCTGGGGCATCTCATTGGCGGATTTCAGACGGTGGTAATTATAAAATGTCTTACGTTTGAATTTAGTGCCTTAAGTGCAACTTGGCTGCCTGAGTATATATATAGTATAGGTCTGGCGCTAATTAAGGCAGGTTCGATATGTCACGTGGCCTCGCAGATAGCAGTGACTTCCGCTTGGTAGACTCTGCAGTCGTCTGGTAGTCGAAAGGAGTGTCTTACTCCGAGATCACGATCTAATCATACCCTCTTTGACTTTGCGAGTTCCTTGCGAGTTTCGAGTCGTCTATATAGATGTTAATACCGTTGTCAGACCCCAAGCTCGGTATTCACGCTCCTGCTAGTGTGTAGTTGACTTACGAAGTTGATTAGAGAACTGCCTACTCCTACGCCCGTTATAGATCATATAATCGCGGCTGGTAGGATGTTGGTAAAAATAGTAGAGAGTTTTCTATCTATGCATAAGGGAATGCAGGGCAGTATCTGTGGACTTGACTTAGCAGTAGGGGTGTTGAGCGCTTGATAGCAACGCCGGATCAATTGACTGTTTCTACCTTCTATAGGGTTGTTAGTAAAAATGACGAGAGTCTGATTAGTCTGAAGTCTTTTGGATTAACCTGTGATGTCTTACTGGTTTTTAGAATGAACACCACCCTAACCTTCCTCCAGCCAGTAGGAATGTGGTTGACTTTCAAGCATTCCTGATTTTCTGATCATTGCTTGGATCCAAGACATTATGTGACTTAAAGGGAATTGATAATTGGAATCTAGTTTAAGTTCCGTTTTTGGTTACTGAAAATATAGGTCTGTATTTTGGAACCCTCATTTAAGTTGAAATCAGATTCAATAAGAACACAGCTACTTTTTTACACACAGCTTAATTCAAAGGCTCCCTTAATTTAAATTTAAAACACTTACCGAATGGCTGATAAAGCCGAAGGAGATGGAAATTGCAGTCAAGAGGCTTGGTTGCAAGGAAAAAGGGTTTTAACTCATAAATTGCCTTTTAAAAATAAGTGCTCTTGGTAGCTGATTAACTTTTAATTCCACAGTTTCAACTTTAACATCAAGCTAGTTTGCTATTGCTTTATTATTATGAATCAAAAGTTTATTATAATTATAATAATAATTCATTTCCAAAAGATATCGTAGATGATTAGCCAATTTATTTTTGAACTAAACTTAGAGTTCTGTCTGCGAAAAGTTTTGTACACCAATTACATTTTATGTTTTTCCCAATGGGAGATAATTTGTTCAATATAGGGCTTGGAATATCAGTCTATAACCATTTCTTCTTTCTTCTTTTATCTTGGAAAATGTTTTAAAAAAGCTCATTAAAAAATGAAGCGTCGGACTCTAAGAAACCTTTTTGAAAGGGCAGGGTTATTAAAATTAGTATCTCCTGGCTATCAAAAGTCAGAAAAATGAGAAGAAAGATATTAATGACAGCATTTGTATTTTTATTTACCTTCAGCGTCAGATTAAAATTGCATTCTAGAATGTATCTATTTACATTTTACTGCTTTACTCGAATTGGTGGAAATATGTGTACCTTTAGTGTTGTATTATATGTTTTCTGTGTTTATATTTAAATAAAAAGCCCATATATTTATATAGTGATTTAAATTCAATTCAATTTTGTTTCCGAAAAAACTATAGTTGAACAGTTTTCTAATGTTGAAAGTCTAAAGATGAAGCATGGGCTTTTGATATCTGCACAGCCATTTAAACGAAATTCAAACTCGTTTTTTTATTCAAACAGAAGGCAGGTGGTCGGAAATCGAATTTCAGCATCCGTGTTGAGCTTATCAAAGACTGTAAATTTGAACAACAGGTACGCCTGACAGTTTCCAGATCTGGTGCCAACCAAACTGACTAATTACAATAGCTACCCGTTGTCCGCAGACCAACTAATCAGCCACCTGCTAATTTCTGTCAGTGCAGCCATCAAACGTCATCATCAGCAGCAACGGACTCATGGACACTGAAATATGCAGGTGCCTACACACACACAAACACACACTTCCACACACTGGTCTGTTGTGGCAGCCTTTCGCCCAATAGCTTCTGGCAATGGTGCTGGGGGCTCAGGTTTTTGTTTGTGTGTAAAAGTACTCCAAAATGTTGGCTGTCCGACCTCATGCAGGGCCAGCAAAAAGTACTTACACACACACATACTCGTACACAGGCACACATATGAGTAAGGACTCGAATGCTTGGTACTCCAATCCGCTGGCTGACTTACCCTCCTCTCCGTTGGCCAACTCGATGGCCACTCCATTTTCACGTCGCCATGTAATTGTCGGCTCTGGTGAACCGGTAGCAGCGCATTTGAGCGTCACGTTACTGCCTTCGCGTACGACCATATCCGTGCTTGTAGGATAATCTAGGATATCCGGCGGTACTGTGCAGTGCAGCAGTGCCAACAATAACAACCACCAGAGTCGAGGTCATGTGAAAAATGCAATTGAGGCCGCCAGACATCGTTGCCATCACCATTGTCATTGCAACGCCAGCGCCATCGTCATCGTCATCGTCAACGCCAGCGTCATCGTCAGCGTCAGCATCAGCAGGTAAATTGGCCAGATAATATACATATATAACAAATATTTTTTAAACCGCGTCGTGGGCACAGGGAAGAAAGAGAAAGAATGGAATAGAGAAAGGGAAAGTTATGTGAGTTCATTTGTCAAATTGTAATTTCATTTTTAAAGGCGTATGCTGGCATTTTTCAATTTCGCACATCAATAATTAAACTATTTAACAAATTTAAAACGTTTTATATTCCCAAACATTGCACAGAAATATAAAATGAATTCCAGAAATCCTTTTATTTGCAAAGTATTTGTTTGTCCCCAACATTAATTAGTTAAAGAGAGAGAGCATTTTATAGAATGACTAAACTATAAATAATAAGTAAGTAAGTAAGTAATAAATATTTAATTATTTTCGAGGTTCTCACATTTGGGTTCCTATAACCCGTCTAATCACCCCTAACTGATCGTTTTTCTGAGTAACTGAACTTCTTGGCTTACTTAGTCTGTAAACCGATGATGTAAATAATTACATTCCCATTATAATTAATAATTATACATTTTATATGGATATAAAGTTAGTTTTTATTAATTATATATTAAAAGAATCAAATGAGTAACATATCAACAGAAATCGGCGGAACATGTAAGCAGTTATGGCAATCAATTATTCAAATAGTTCTTTATATATTTTTAGTTCTTTATTGGTTGTTTATAAAAGCAATTTGTACATTTTTGTCTAAAGAATATGCCAACGAAAACGGTGAAGCGATTTTATTCAAACTATGAAATAAACGTTTCATTTTATTTGTGTACGTTGAGCTCTGATTGTTACTTTTAAGTCGCCGTTTAATTGAAAAATATACTTATTAAACTGTATTTTATAATAATCGACTCACAACTAAAGATGTTAATGGCAATGTTGTTAATGGTTGAATACTCATTAAAAATGGACTTAAACATATTTTGTTGTTACTGGCTTTAAATATAAATTGACTGTCAGAGGCTTGAATTATTTTTCATTTAATTACACATCGCTTAAATTAACAGCATATGTTTTATTTAAAGAGATATCTCATATTTTTACAGTCGGGCAGCCCCTGAAATGACCCCAAAGGATTGTAATTCATGGGCCATCGCGGCGGCCAAGTGAAAAAGCATCCACAGCCTGCACTTTCAACCTGGCCAAATGAGTTGTTTCTGTTGCTGTTGTTGTTGTCGCATGTCCGCCTTTTGTTTAAAAGGACAAACTTTTCATATGTCGCGAAACACACTAACACACACACACACACACAGACTGGCACCGAAAAATGACTGTGGCGGATGTTTGCGCCCACAGCGGAAAACCTATGAACCATGAAAACGTAATAAAGCCGGAAAAAATACTACAGGGAATGTATGTATGTGTGTGTGTATGTGTGCGTGTGCAGGTAAGAACGAACGAGTGTTAAAGTATATGCATATAATATGCCGCAATTATGTGGTTGGTAAATGACCAAAAATTGTGGTGCTGTTGGTGTTGACAAACAGCTTGTTATATAGTACTATATGCATTGTACGCTGGTCCTTCCAAAGGACCGGCCATTGTGCAAAAAGAGTGGCAACTGAGTGGTCATTAAGTGGCCAAGGTTAGCAGTGCTGGGCACTGATTGAAGCCTTTATAGTCGGGACACGTGAATACTCTGTGAAATGTGCAGACAATCGTTCAAAATGTGTCACTGATACTACGTCAGTTTTAAAGTAGATCTTAAATGAGAAATTTCGAAAATGATCTGCAATTCTGCAAGAGAACCTTAAGTCAAAATCTAAAGATATGTTCAATTTGAAATTAATTGCTTTTTAGAATCCTAGTAAAAAGTCTTATAACTGAAGTATTTTCTTTACAGTACAGAGCTGAGATATTTGAAATAAACACACAAAATAATTTTGAAATAATTTACTTCTTACATGTTTGAAAACAGGAAGCTTCAGATAAATTAAAAAATATTTGTAATAAAGCTAGTTAGTGTCTTCAGCTTTGAAAAGAGATTCGCTGGCTATCTGAATCAGGAATAATTCATATACAATGTTTCTTCCAAAGTAAAACCTCTTTTTTATTTTTATTATAAATAAGCAGTTTTCGTTTTTGAAGCCTTACTTTTATCGGGAAATTACATAATTTACAGATAGTTGGTAAGAGGTGGACCTTTCCAACAAACCAGAACCAGATACAACCACCTACCACGCCACCAGAAAACACTCTATTCCACAAGTCCTATTCACTTCGGAAAACACTTGGGACTAGATATAAAAAACACTCTTGTGGTTTACATATTTGCGTGCCTTTTTATTGGAAACTTTAAGTTCAGACTTAGATCAGATTGTCATGCATGATGACTGATCTATGATCAATGGCACTGCTCAGCTAATATCCGTTCTAATCTATAATTCAGATTAAAGAACTATACATAAAGTTCAATAATCCGTGGTATACATTAAATACCTATTTAGATTACTCTGTTTTATGAAGTCGGGTAAAATATAATAGTATAATATCTAAAATGTCTATAATGAATTAAATATTATATTAAAGTAAAAAATCTTTTTATAAAAACGAGTTGTTTTTGCTGGTTTTTAAACCAAAATCGATTTTCATAACTACTTGTATTTATTGCCGCTTTTCAAAATATTTATCATTTTAGTAAAAATGATGCAATTCTTCTGCATTCCACGCATTGCTTTAATTTGATTCGTGTTTTTGAAATTGTTTCGTCTATTTCAAAATGTGTTTGGAAAAATCCTGTCTGATTGTATGAATATCGCATGAACTTAAACGCCGGCTACGGCAGCTCCCTCTGTGTGGGTGCGTACACACATGCGAGTGAGTGTGCGTGTGTGTGTGTGTGTTTGTGTGAATAATGGCATTCGAAACACAAGCCGACAGTCATATGCCGATGCCGGCAGAGCGACCAGCCAGCACCGTTTGTCGTCGACTGTTTAACTGCATTTGGTCACGAAAATCATCAACTCGGTAGCCACGACGATGGCAGTGCTGCCCAAATAGCCAGATTTCCCGCTTTTCCGACATTGTTAGCAAGAATTCCAAATAATGTGTTATTCTTTTAGTCTGAGATCAAGATAAAAGACAATGCTTTGGTTCTTCTTTGATTCTTTCTAAAATGTTGTTATACTTGAATTATAAAAGTCTAATAGAATGAAATATTTATTAAAAGGTAATATGAAAAAAATGCAAGCAAATAGAAACTTTGTTTTAGGCAGGACTGTGGTAGATCGATGACAGCCTCTCCAAGTTCAGAAAAGTAGAAAGGAATTTGAAGAATTTGAAAGGAAAAAGGAACTGCAAATGGTAATCTGGACAGTGACTTTTTTAGGTCGGGAGACTTGGCCCTTCTACTACAAATGCTTTAAAAGGTTTGAAATATTCATTGAAATATAAATAAGTATAAAATAGTATGTGCGTTAATACGAAAAGATTTAGAATATAGTCGTTCTTGACGGTACGTTGTAAGGTTATTCAGGTTTCAGAGGTCACCAACGTGTTAGCCTTTTTATGTCCAGAAAAGTAGAAGGGATGAAGTAATGAATGATGAACTAAGAAGTGTACTCCTTCTTGTCCTCCAAATAGTAAAATTTTCATTCAGGTTGCCACACCTTTAAGACCTGGGACTTTAAAGTTCTTGAATGAACTACGAGTATAATTTGTAAAAAGGATGATTAGATGTATAGAAAATAATCGTTCTGAATGTGCATTGCACTCTTATTAATAGTGAAAAGAAAAATGCTTTCTCTTTAAAAAAGTTCAAGATAACATCCCTGTTGATAGCCTATTCAATTTCTGGCATTTTTATTTATTCTCTGTACGATATTCAAACAGATTTTGGTGGTGTTCGAGTCTCTCTCTGTTTTTGGCAGCACTGCCGGCAATGCGGACTCGCGTTGGTTTTTGGTGGAATGGTCGTAGTTGATGCCGTTACCGGTGCTGGTGCTGGTGCCGGAGTCGGAGCCGGGGCCGGAGCGGGTGCCGGACCTCCTACCCGCTGATTATCCACTGCAAATACACAGTTGATTATACTTTTTCGTGTTTGCCAATAGCGTGGAGCGGAGGAAAGGCGCGGACGCAGGCAGGATGGTGGGGTTGGCGGTTGCCGTGTGCTGGTTTAAAAATTTAGCGCGTTGATTTAGATTTGCAGGCGAAAGGTATTTAGGCAGTTGAATTAGGTTGCAGTGGCCGATGAGTGCAGGAATATGGTTGAAAAGGGGGAGCGCTCGTACGGCCACTGACCACTTCCTGCTTCAAGCGCATTTCTTACGCGCCGCGCGCCATTTTAATTCAAAATCAACAATTTGTGCGGTTCAGTGGACGATTAAACATGTTTAAGTAGCCACAATGGAGCAGCTACCAGCCGAGAACCGAGAATCGAGAGCCGGGAACCGAGCATCGAGAAGCGAGAGCCGACAGCGAAGAGTGTGGCCATGAGGCCAACGAAATTTCAGAGACCGGCACAGGAAGGTGACTGGCAGGCTGGCCTGGTTCATGCATCCGTGTGGGTTGTCCGCGCGTAAACGTTTTGTTGGCACCCTGTGGTCGCTGCCTACATTATTTTTACTGTTTGATTATTATGCCTTTTTGTTTTTCAAAATTGTTGTTTAACTTTATTTGTGCAAAAAGTGTTCGAACAATGAACGCCATGGCAACGAGGCGTATGATTGTTTGACTTTTCTTTGCTGCCCAGCCAGTTGTAAAAAGGCAAAGCTTTTGTTACACAACTCACCTACAACGTCGAGGTAGCCCATTTGGCTCTTCATGGGATCCGTGTTGATCTGGCACATATACCAGCCCTTGTCTGACTCTTTAATATCACGTATACGCATCGTCCAGGTTTTGTGCTCCGAGTTCGCAATGCCGATGCGTTGGTTTTTGGTTATGACATGATTTTGTATCGTCAATATTGTTTGTGTGTCGACACGCAGCCACGCAACCTGTGGGAATTTGTGCAGGGAGTTCAAGAACGGAACTTTATTTTTATATTTCTTGTAATAAGCAGTTGAAGTGTTTTTTTAATTGTTGATTAAGTGGAATGTGTAATGCATCAGTGATGGACAAAAGCTACGCCTTCAAAGATATTTATTTATATTCCTACTGCGCCCGTCGTGTGTGGTCGACATGTTATTTATTTTATATATATTTATATTTATATTCATGGTTTAAGATTTTAGAAATGTCCTGCATAGGTGGGAGGTTTGGTGTTTAATAAACCTAAAGCTAATCTAAATGTATACTATGTATATTTTTATTTTAATGAAATAAGAATTCACATCAATAGGCAGAAATAAAAGGGTTAAACATGTAATTATTTAAAAACCACAATCACCCTTAAAGATAAATTTGTCTAACTTTTCAGTTCCCTAAATTTGTTAAAACTAAAAAAATAAATCTATTAACAAATCATAGCTAAGATGATCTAAAGTAGAGCCAGAGAGTTGTGAACATTTTAACGTAGTTAATGGGATGTGATAGCTGTTGAAATAATGAGTAGGGAAATATTTATAGTTTAAGAGCTCTAAATTGAAGTAAGACCGAATTGTGAATGAAGTAATGTGTATAAAGCAGCTATTGACCTATTGGTTAATCTCTTGCTTGGCGCAGTCGAAAGGCCTTCAAAATTTTGGAGATATCAGCTCATAAACAATTAACCAAATATTAATAGGAATCAAAACTAAAGCTCATCAGAATAAGCAATTTATGCAAGAATTCCAGAGTAAATTATACCAGAGTCGGGGAAAAAGCCCCAATAAGTATGGACAGCCGATATAAATGCGAGCATCTCAGTTCCAAATAAATCATACAAAAAGCAATGTAAAAGAGAAAGGCAAGGATTTATTGTAAACAATTCTCAAAATCTAGTGACTAACATACTTGTTATCTCTATCTGAAGTAAATCTAACTAAAAATTCTAATATACAACTTCTTTATAATAATTTGTTGCTTTTTTTGAAATATGATTATAGTTACAGTTAAAATTAATGTACCTCAAATCTAATGTAGTTCAAATTAGTGATGTAAGTATGCATCGATACATCGATGTATCGTTTTTAACGTAAGCGATTGTTTTCGATCTTAACTCGATGTTTTTAGATGCGATGTTTCGATCGATTGTTATAAAAATATCGATGTTACGGACATTCCTAAGCAGGGAAGTCCCAGCATATACACAAAAGTAATGAACTTGTATAAAAAAAGTGCTAGGGAACTGCTAAGAAACCATGCCAAAGCAAGTTGTTATTCCCATTTCAATCGAAAATTCGGAGCCTAGCATATCCTTAACGAGCTAGCAGGAATCCCACTCTGAAATTTAAATTGTTAAAACTAACGGGAATTAACATGTGCGTATATGTATATACGTACGCATTTTACATGATGAGAATACATGTTGGGAATAACACCTTACTTTGGAATTAGACTTATTAAAATAACACATATTTGTGAATAAACATTTTAAAATTATTGCAAAGCTACGCTCCTAGCTTCTTTTTATACCGCGTAACCAAAGGCCACAATAGTTTCGGGCGCATATAATATGCACAGGAGAATTATTCCCGCTCGTCGTTTTGTTTCATCTCTTGTTTTACATTACAAATTTTTATGAAAAATCGATGTATCGAAGCTAAGTTTTTCGATACATCACTGCATCGATGTTTGTCATTGCGATTTTCGTTTCCGATGTAAAACATCGTTGTTCATTTCAGATTTACATCACTAGTTCAAATCATCACAAAAAAGTCTATATAAGAAAAAAATGTCAAAACAATAATATCAATAATAAAATCACTTAAGCTTCTTATTTTTATATTGAAATACTAATAAATCATACATTTTGCTTCTATTATTATTAATATTTAGATTTGTTTAAACAAACAATTTTATTAGTTGCTATCGTCAACTCTTTTTAGAGCTTTAAATAAAATGATTTAAATTAATTACTTTTTCATATGAAAGAAAGAACAACAAGGTAGCCGCAAATTTAAGCCCACTTTTTGTCACAAAATGTGGGCAGCGTTTTTATACGCATGTGGTCAATCGATATTTCCATACCCTGTACCCGTAGGGTAAAAAGGGTATATTAGGTTTGTGCAAAGTACATATGTGACATGCAGAAGGAATCATCTCCGACCCCATAAAGTATACATATTCTGAATCAGCATGACGAGAGAAATGGATCTAGGATGAACGCAAGGATCTCAGAAACTATAAAAGCTAGAATAACCAAAGTTGGCATCCAGATTCTCCTAGGTCCGAGAAAGGACCTTCCCCCGCTACAGAATTTCGTCAATAGCGTCCACATTTCAAATTCTACCTAAACCAAACTTTGCACACATCATTTATATATAATTATCTACTGCTGCCTAAAATTATTCAATTCGGTCAATTCTAAGAAAAGTTATTAGCGAAACAAATTCTCGCCAGTACAACCCCACCAAACTGCAGCAACAAGTTCGGTCTTCTTCTTCCGCTTTTGCGTATAACTCAGTGACGGAAGTTTACCTGGATACAGGGTATTACACTGTCGGGCTTGCTCGACTGTAGCGTTCTCTCTTGTTTTGACAATTTTTGGTTTGTTTACTAAATGTGTATTGATGGCGGTTTCAGACCACGTTGTTGAAGGCACATTTGGCATTTGGCCGGGCTCTTAAAATGTTTAATATTTCCACACTGCCTGAGGCAGTAAAAATTGCACACGTTCCCATCTAGAATACTTATGAATAGGTGCTTTGATTTTCGGAAATGCTAATATTTGACTCCTACTCGTATAGCACTCGGAGCAGTCCAAATGAACCTCAGCTCGCATGACATGCACAAGCTGCTCAAATTAACTCAAAATCTTTTCCGAGAAGTACTTAGAACCTACTCACATACTTGTATACCCCAGCAGGTTGAACTAATCACGCTCACACACACATGCTGCTGGGCAATTGTACAATTACGTGGGTAAATTGTTATGCGATAAAGCCGGCAGCGTGCAGGCTAGAGCTAAAATATTTCTATAGCCATAAGAGGCAGTCCCTTCCCCCAACCCTTGCCAGCGCCAACCCCCTCTTTGCATGTGTAAATGTGCCAGAAGCGGGCATAATGTGAAGTAACCCGTCCAGCTGACATGTCGACACGAGAAGCTATTTAAGGCAAGTTTTACGCTACTGTTAGATAATTTATAATCATGTTGGGGCTGTTAAAGTTTGGCTAATTAATTATTGAGCGATGGCTTCAAAATGAAACTGATGTGATTTAATATACAATTTAGTTTTCGGTTTTTGGGGCCAACATATTAAATAAATAAATAAATGGAAAAGCCGTCAGCGTAAAATAAGTAATTACACCCAAGTGCCTGCTCAATTATCTTTCAACAGAGAAACGCTTAATTGTGCAGCATTTTTGGGGTGGCACACACACACAAGCACACCCACACACACACACATACTTGACTGCCCCTGTTTGGGGTAAGTAGTCAGTCCTCGCAGTCGAGCTACCTTTGCCATTCCCTTATTAATATGCATTTGTTGTTGTTGTCATAAAGCTACCTTCACATTCACCCAACAACGATAGACACAAATGATGATGAAGCATGCCTCTTGCGCCCCTCGACCGCTCCCCACCCCCACCACCAGCACCAGCACCAACCCCCACCCCAGACAATGTGGCAACAAACAGCAGCGCTCAACACGTTCTCATTCATATTTCAATTACTTTTTATGTGATTTTCCTCTTTGTTATTGCATATCCCTATTTATGTTTTTATATTTTCACTTTCATATTCATTCAATTCTTGTTGCCATCGCCGTCCTTGCCATGCCTGTTATTGTTGTCATTCGTTTGTTTTCTGTTCCGTTCTGCTCCGTTCTGCTCCGTTCTGTTCTGTTCTGATTTGTTTTGTTTTGTTTTGTTTTGGGCGTCGAGATTTTGTCTTTGAGATTATGCGGCCGTCGAGTCGAGTGCGGATAAAATGTTAATGAATATTAATGCGACCGGTTGGGTTTTTGTGGCTGTTTATTGGGTGTGTAATTGAGGAGGAAGGTGTGAGTGGAGTGTGTAGCATGTTTTGATTTGATGTGCCGAAATTAACAGATTTGTTTACCTTATACGAGCCCAGATCCTGCACGACACAAATGAGAAAGGCATCACGTCCCACGGGCGCCGTCACATTTGCAATTGGAGAACTAAATTTGGGATCAACTGTAATGGAGGAGAGAGAGAGACGGTTGGCGTGAGTGGCCCATTAATATGAGTTGCTGTTGATAGCTATATAATTGGCTGGTAATTGTAAAATGATTGCCGAATCACTGGAGTGGGCGAAACGGATGATTGCACAGAGAATTCACAGCACTTTTGAGTGCTTTAGCTTATGATATGGGTCTGCTTTAGAATTAAATTAGATAATTAATAAGTAACATTATTACAAATAAACGATGAGATTATTGTAATGCATTGGAGAATCTATTTGCGTTCCAACAAATTTAGGCTTGTTGGGTTGTGGTTGAAACAGAATCATCTAAAGTTTATGAATAAAATGCAATAGCAATGCTGAAATAATAATTATAATATGCAACACTAGAGGTAGTATATACATGATACTTGTATAATTCCTCTTAGCTTCATAGTCTAAAAGGTATTAAAATCTTATATTATTTAGCAGAAATTAAACTTGTTGGGTTGTTGTTGAAACAGAATCTTCTATAATTCAAAAGTAATAGCAATGCTAAAGAAATAATAATTATAATATGAAACAGTTGACATGATATATTAAAATATTGAGAGAGCACTGAACATTTTTTCCTTTTTCTTTGCTTCATAGTCTAAAAGGTTTTCATTTCTTGAAATATTTAGCAGAAATTAAGAATATTCATATAAATTTATGGTTTTATTATCATCTCATGACAACCTATTAAGGTCTCTATAAAGAAGAGGATCAGTATAGTGTCTTGACGGATTAAATAACACATTAAATAATAAAATATATTCGTTCTACTTGTTTTGATTAGTTGTAGTTATTAGTAGCTCTATCTTACAAATGTTTTTAGCTACTTAGGAGAAATAAACATGATTTTAACTATATTTCAAATCAAGCGTGATCGGAATTTCGCTTTTAATTGAAATTATTGAAATTGGTTAAGGATTTGTGGTTAGTTTGTGAGTTCAATGAACACTTACCTATCGCCTCGACGGGTACTTCAAGTCTTTGTGGATGACATTTCTGGCACATGAGTATTATGATGAGCAATGGCGTTATAGTACGGTTGTAACACAGCACGTTGGCTAGCCAATGGGCAACGTAACGTTTTGATGACATTGTTTATGTTTGTATGTGATTTAAAAATCTATTGTATTCATACGACATTTATCTGTGGCTTAGGTTTAGTTTTTCATTTTATTGGCTGTTTGGAATTAAGTTTACATTTGATTATAAGCATCAGCTCAAAGGCCAGGTTCTACATTGTTTAAGTTCCTGGAATTCGGGTAATTTGTAATTTCGTCTGCAGTCGACACCATCACCAACTGGCTTGGCAAATATTCAACAATACACGACCCGTGACCGGTTCTTTGACCAACGCCCGCGCCTCGTAATTGGCAGTCATTAGTGAGCCTCTAATGGCGTTGAATAAACTTCTGCTGGCTGTTGCTGCTTTTATTTATGCGTGTAAACAGCGGAAAGTTGCACAAAGTACTTGAAAACAGAATCAAAACTAGGAAAACAATGCCCCAACGAGTGAGGCAAACAATAATCATGCCGTGCCAAATACGCCAAATTAAAAAGTTTCAAGTTTAAAGCCCACAACCACCAGCACCACCCTCCATGAACGCCATAGTCTGCTGAGTACGGGGCACAGTGGTCGGCTTGTGAAAAAATGCTTGCAGAAATGTGAAATTTGATTGTTTTTCGCCAATTTCAGTAAATGTTGAATGAATTCAGAAGCTCGATAGAGGCCAGGCCGTCTAACCGTCTGATTCTCCGTCCAAGCAACTAGGGTCACAAAACTTTGCACGAAAGTCTGGCAGAAACAGAGACTCCTACTTCTTAAATATACTTATAAATAAACCTACATATTTTTTACAAATGAAAATTTACATTGTCAAAATAAGGATTATATGTGAGAAAGAACAATGACATAGTATACGTAATAAGGAGCTGACACAAGCTTAGCGAATAAGAAAGGTTACCGACTCCACTCCCACGGCTACGTTCATCGGGGGTACGGCCTTAAGTACGGGGAAGCTGATGAGGAATAGAAACATCAGGGTGCCGATTGAGGTTATACCTCTATATAAGTTTAATGAACAGGAATTCATACATTTTCTAGATAACAAGATTATATTTGCGGAGACTTAATGTCTAATAAATAAACCGAATGGCGCCATCAGGATTTTCGGTGCTAATGTGTGTGTGTATTTGAAATAAATCAACTGAAATAAACATACTGAATCGACTAAATTTACTGGTATAACAACTTAAGCTATACAGTGCGCGTTTTTAGACGCTTTCCTCTTCAGTCAGCAATGTGTTTAAACTGAAAGATGGCAGTCTGCTGGAGCAAAGCAATTGAAACGGGTTGTAGATTCAGTTTAATATAACGCAACAAAATACAAAAAATGCAACTGCTCTAATGAATTACTGGAATGATAGCTTGAAGAGAAAGATGAAGAAAATGATTTTATACGTAGTTCTTTTCTCTCCATTGAACGGATTGAAGACGACATGAAAATATTCTAATAAATTCCAATTGAAAAAGGTATCGTAATAAAAGAGATTTTGTTCATAAATGTATTTCTGGATAAAGTCGCTGGTCTTCGAAAATATACTCTATATAGAATTTGAATATTTGAAATAAATTAGCACTAAGAAAAGATCTGTATTTAAGATCCCCGTTTATTTACTCATTTTCTGCCTTTGATAAATATGTGCGCAGTTAAAAGACATAATAGAGCAAGTTCCAGAGAAAATATGACCCACCTCTGCTAATCAATATGAGTATTTCTAAATTGCTTAATAAGCTTCAAAGTTGAGTTAAAGAATTATCTGTTTGTACAACGTGATCTCATTCGCTAGCTGTAGCTTTGTGATACAAAATGCAAAATTGCTCCACTGTCTGGGGTGCGGGTGCGGGCGCGGTTGGGTTGGGAGGGCCGAGTAAATTTTGCGTGTTCAGGTTGTGTAAATTGCTAGAGAGAACCGGCGACTGTCGAGGCGAGCAGCTGGTAAAAATTAAGTACGACTATCTAGCAAGGTGTTGCATGTTGCCTGCATTTCTGCCAAAGGCGAGCTTCGCAGGGATCCCTCGCCTCGGGCATTTTGTTTTGTTCATTTGGCATTTAAGCGTAGTAAAGGGAAAAACTGTTTATGGAACGGAAATGAAATGCTTCGAGAGTTTCCATGTGTGTGTGTGTGCGTGTCTGTGTGTGTGTGGCTCAGTATGTGGGACCGTAAATAAAGCATAAAATCGTGCAATGGCCGAAGCAGTGAAATAGTTGTGCTTTATAGTTGCATTTTGCAGCTAAAGCCTGCACCATTCGGCCGCCTTGATGTGACATGTGAGCTGAGCAGAGCTGAGCCGAGCACGGCGCAGTGCAGTGGTAATTGAGTTTGGCTAATAATGCTGGTCGAGTTGTGGTCGGAGCTAGGCATGAGGTCAGCACAGGCATATTTTGCTTTCGAACGTACAGAAAGTTCAAGGGGATTCAAGAAATTTTTGCAAACAACCTACCATAGTTTATGCGAATTTTGGCTATTAAGAAAGTAAGTCAACATTGTTCAGATAATTCGAAAAGTAGCAGCTTTGTTTTTTAAATTTTAAGTGGAGTTCAACTGACAGTTAAGGCATGCAATGGAGATAGTTTCAGTGATGCAGTCGCCAGATAATGCCATAATTTGAATATAAAGCAAAAGAATTATTAAATTAGGTATAAAATTATGAAAATATGAAGTCACTACAGAAGAACAAATAAGTTGAAATAAATAAAACTGTTTTAGTAATATTATACTTGTATTTAGATGTAGGGCCGGAATGTATAAACTGGGAGGAATTAATATGAATAAGTTCAGTTTTAGGCAGAATAAATATCTAAAAATTATCTTTATTTTCTTACATAGATCTCTTCTGGCTCAATTGCACAATTTCCACATTAAATTTCTAACTAGATGAAAATATACAGATTTGGAAGACGATTTTTTTGGGGGTACGAATTGCATTTAAAGGAAGTAGAAAATTATATCGATTGAAATAAAATTGGCGAATAAGCCAATTATACCCGAATCATTGCTAAAATGTTGGTCTTCAATACAAAAGAAGGAAACGTCTATTTACTTTTCAATATTTAATTGATTGTTGGTAAACGTATTCAATACATCAAAATTATTTTATTGCTTTTATTTATATTTAGGAGTGAGAAAAATGTTGTAAAATATACTGCAAAATAAAATTTTAGTCACTTGTGGCACTTCAAATGTATGCTATGAGAGCAATTAAAAAATGGGCATTCGTCAAGAGACAATCAACAGAACTCATTAATACCCTTCGCAATATTACCCACAGGGATGTTCTCCAAGTAATTCACCATAATGGTGATCCTGTGAACTTGGCACGAAGCTCCAAAGATTCGATCAGTCGAGGCTGATTCAAAACAATTACGAGAACTGAACACAGATCAACATTGAGCTGAATTTGAAGAATCTGGGCCAAGGCATTATTTAGTTTAGTTTAGTTATTAATATCCCACAATATGTGCCCACTTCTTCTTTATTTTATTCAATAATAGTTTCTTCATTTATTATGTGTTTGCAAAGAGTTAAGAATAGACTTGTACACGATATGTTTTGGATGCAATTATATTCACTCAGCTGCTATTGTTTATTTGATCTGCTCTTTGAATGTTAGCGAAGATTTGTAGTACTAGTATTTAGTTATATACGATCTATTGTGCTGATATATATAACTTGGAGGCTATTATTTGTATTTCAATAAACAAGCTTTGCCCAGCGGCTAACCCAATTTGCGTTCTACTCTCATTGCAATTATTTTGCACTAGAAACTAAACTTAGACCCTCAGCAATCAATCTTTGGGTACAAACTGGCACAAGTTTTCTTTTCATTCACAACATTTAGTCTAATTTTCATAAAACAGCAGCAAACCCAATTAGCTATGCAAACTACACGATAAAGCAAAGTTGCTTCCTAGGGCTTCCTAGGGTGCCGCAAGTGAGCTGTATCTGGATAGGTGGCTCTCGTTCGCTTCTCCGTCTGTCTGTCTGTCTGTCTGTCTGCACGTCCACGTCTGGCTGACATGACCCGCATGGGCTGTAAATTATTAATAATATTGCTATGCCTATTTACTAGACATTTTGTGAGTGAGCCAACGTCGTCCGTCAGTCCACAGCAAATACAGGCTGTGTGTGTTGTCTTTTTGTAGTCTACTTTTGAGGGCAGCTGGTCGTGCATGCAATGTGAATGTGAATGGCTGACAAAGGACACACATGGCAAGCAAAGTTTGCTTTCAATTGCGCTAAATTATGTAAAAATCAATAAAGAGTCAAGGAAGGCGAAGGTAAAAAAAGAATTTTAATGAAATGTCATTTTTAAATTGTTTCTGTCAGTTGCGGGCGCCTCTTTTTGTTTTTTTTTTTTTTTTTTTTTTTACATATATACAATTTATTAAACTAGTTTTCTACTACCAATATGGCAGCTTAAGCTAGTTGAAAGTTAGGGAATACAAAAGTTGTCTATAGTAAGCATCTATAGGACGCACTTATATCTATGTACATATATACAATATTTACAATGTTTTACATGAAAAATGATTATATTTTATGATATATACTATGTATTTTATACAAGGGCGCCTCAAAGCAGACTTTTAAACACTGCCAGTGAGTCGTGCATATTAATACATTTCCTTTAAATTCCAAAATAAGTTAGAGAACAACATTTTTGATCGCTCTTCGAACTTGTTTCCTCTTTATTCAAAATATGTTGGCAACAAACAAAGTTAAAGTTTTTTGTTACATTTCCTATCAAAAATAAATTGTAAAAATTTGACAATGAGTTGTACATTTCAATTAATTCACATATTTGTCCCCCATAGCTCACTAAAGAATTCGCAAGCAATTTAAAATAATGTATAAAATAACGTTTGTTTCTGCTCTTTTCTTTTTCAGCTTGCCTTTCAATGTTAGTAAATATCTAGTTATAGTTATGGATTTTTATTAAATGACTTCAATTTTATTTAACTGAAATGTTCTTGTGAATATTTTGCATTAGATGAAATGGGTTTGCTTCTAAGTGAACAAGTTGAGGGGGAGTTTAAAGTATATATACAATAAACAGTCCTTGTAGAATAAAATATTAAACATATTCTTTGTTGGTTGGTAACATAAATTTACTTTAAATTGTTACCACATTTCACAAGCTGAGAGTGGCAAGAATTAATTTTATATATATTTAAACAAGTTTTAAAAAATTTACCAGTGCATTAAAGAAATCATAATTTAAATACTTGAAATTAAATTTAATGAACATATTTTTTTGTCGGATGGTTACTGGTCATGAAAAATAGGTTAGGTAGAGAAGGCGGACAGGAATACTGAATTTAAGAAACTTTAAGATATTGACAGATATTTAAGACATCTACTGTACAGTCCGGATCTAGTGACCTTTTTTTGTCATTAACAAATTTACTAGTTGAAAAAACAATGTATTCAGTGGAGGACTGCGAAAATCGGTACGTCTTAATTTTCAGCTGTTATGAGAAAGAATTTATAAAGCTATCTGCAATGTGACAACAAGTCAGTAACTAAAACGGGATGAATTTCTAATATCCAAATCTCGCAACGCAACCGCCTAAAAAAATATAAAAAGGAGAAACACAGGGATTAATTTTTTTCACCCAAAACCCAATATGATTTTAATTATTATTTTTCATATAATATCATAAAATATATTTCATATTTAATCTAATATATTGTAAATATTCCATTGTATATACACATAGATGTAAGTGCGTTCTATAGATGCATACTATGGACAACTCTTTTATTCCCCATTAATTTTCAACTAGCTTAAGCTGCCTTATTGGTAGCAGAACACTAGTTAAATAAATTGTATATAATAAAAAAAAATTTTTTTTAAATTTTATTAAAAATTGGAAAACATTTTAAAGTTCAATTCGCGCAAATGACGCTAACTTTATTTGTAAAAATTTCAATACTGGCCATATCATAAACGTTTCAGTTTTTCCCAATCCACGGAAAGTTGCATCAAAATCAATTCATTGTTGAATAAGAAAGCACCACATTCATGAGCTTACTGTCGTGGAAAGGCATTTGCTGTTTTAAGCTCCTTGTTTTGGTAAGCCAAAAGCAAATCATTGCCTACTTACGGGCAGTTCAGCTGCTAAAGCACCAAAAAAAGGAAAAAGGGCCAAATTTATGGCACATAATAAGAGCTACTCATGAAACTTTGTATACTTGTCGTATATTATTTTTATGGCTTCGGACATGCAAAGCGAGTGCGGCTCGCTGCCTAAAAGTATGTCGCACAATTTGTATAATCAGCTGTTAAATTATGTGCAAAATGTGCGCCAAACGAGCGGCGAGTTAGACGTTCTGTAAAATGTAAATATTTGCTGCACACATACAGATCGTGAGTTTATATGTGCGTGTGTGTGTGTGTGTGTGTGAAAAACCACACAAGGTCAATGCAGCACGGAGCTTTGTTTACTTTGGCGGGGCCCCTTGAGGTATGCAACCGAATGCTGCTGATGCTGCAACGACACCGCCAATCAATAGCCGGCAGGCTCTTGAAATGCACGCACACCGCCTGTGTGCGCGGAATTTCAATTTTCAACACAAACATTAATTAACACGTGATACATTGCGCCTTTATCGCTATGCTGCTTCAATATTTCAATAGTTTTTTCATAATTTTTTAAATATACAAGCTGATTTGCTGCCGCACACTCTTTTTTGTATTTTTTACCTCCTTTTGTTTATGTGGCAAGTGGAGTCGAGTGGGTAGTCTAGGGTTGGTCTTGCATAAAATTAGCATAAATCAGAATGTATGGCGAAAAATTTCCATTGCTCTACTGTGGCGCCTGTAAGTATGCAAAGTTTTCGTTGCGTTTCTTCCTCTCCCTTCACTTCGTTTTTGTTGCTGTTGACCGGCAACAGCCTCTAGTACGGAAGTTGATTATTATCGCTTGTTATTAACAGCAGCAGCAACAACAACAATAACCGGTTGCACAACAACAGCAATCATAATAAGCTCTACGTGGTTGTGACGGAAGCTCCGGACTTGCATTTTCCCCCAACGTCAGAAGGGGGCGTATATATGCTGTCCATTATGTCAAAACGTAGAGGAAAAACTTTCCTTTTGATTTTTATTCGGCTCGCATGTATGTGTATATATGTTTGTCTGACTGAAATCGAGCATTCGTAATTTGCAATTGATATGCCAATGCCTGTGATTGGAGGACAATGGCAATCGCAATGGCCATGGCAAGGGTTCAAGCCCAGTTGGTTAGTTGAGGATAGGATAGAGAGGACATGACCTTTGCTGCATCAGAACTAAAAGGACGAGGGAGCATTTTAAATTAATTTTTGCTTTGATTGCGGATATTTAAAGCGCACATCTTGCTAAAGACGGCTTAAACGTAATTAAAATAGTGTCATTATAATTAATTTGTGGCATTGACTATAAACCTAATAGGCTTAACCATATTTTTTTGGTCTATAATCTGCACGCTGAGCCAAATTGCGTTACATAAATTATAGACGAAAGCTAGAAGTATTAATACCCATTAATTATTTATAAACATATAGTAATTCACTGTTTAACTTTAGCTCAAATATTTGCATTGAATCAATATTCTAAGCAACAATTTAAAACCATCGCTGCCTACCGAAAAAGCTGCAATTATGTTTGCATTTCTAAACTAGTTTTGCAGGCAATAATGGAATTGCTTTTATTATCTGCTCATTAGTTTAGGCATATTTGTACAAAAATGCATGATAAAAGTACTCCAATTATTTTGTCCATTTCATTAAATAATCATTGAAACTACAAACTACATGAATCCGTATTTATTTTGAATTGCTCGTATTTATACATGAGTGGGATTTGGAAGCACGAAATACAAAATACGCCTTTTACACGTTTTTAATGTTTGTTTTTCTGTCTTTTAGTGGGAAAAGCGTTGTATTTAGCTTTAAAAAGAAAACATGCCTGAAGGATGAATGCCGACTTTTTTGTAACGTTCTAAAACAATTTTTTGTTTTTATTTCTAATTTGTCCTTTTATTTAATTAATATAATTGCTCTAGTCTGTTTTTATTGTTGTCATCTAAAGTTTTTCACAAATAAAAATATATGGCACTTTTTTTTCAATTTGTTGAACTCATTTCAGATGGTGTCTCTGAAAATTGATGTAAAAATTAATAAAAAAAAAGAAATCGAAGGCAAAAATGCAATTGAAACTTATTCAACTCAACGTCAGTTATGTAATGTTTTTAAATAAGTAATAAAATCTAATAAAATAAATTCAATTCAAATTTACACTCTTAGTAAAAAACATCTCAGTTGTTAATAAAAAGTACAAACCAATCAATTATGTATTCTATGTATTCTGTTGCAAAAAATAGATCGTTAGATAAACTCAATAAAATATAAAGGAAAAACAAACAAGCATTCAAGACTGAAACAAATAAGTTAGGAAATTAAGGTGGGGAGAGAAATTTTATTTTGGTGAGAAATTATAAAATATTTGTTCCTATAATTTCGATGAAATGAAATGAAAGTTAAAGGTGTTAAATTAAACTGAAAGATAAATAATAAACTGCATTTATTTGGCACAAAATTAAACTGCAAACAAGAATGGAATGCTAGAGTCGAGTCAACTGTTAAATGCGCTTTACTTACTCCTTTTGAAACAAAATAAATAAACATTTATTTTTTATTTTATATTAAATCAAATTGAGAAAATAAACTAGTGGAAAAGCTAATGTTGGGCCCACCGATTTTGAAATACTCTTTACCTATATATAAAATAATAATATAATTTTGGTAGCTCTAGGTCTTAGAGTTTCTGAGATCTAGCTGTTTATACGAATAGACAGACAGGGCTAAATCGACTTGTCTTGTCAGGCTGATTAATAATATATATACATATGTTGAAGGGTCTGTCATTCCCACCAAACTAGTGTACCCTTTTACTCTTTGGGTGCAGGGTATAGCAAGCCAACCTGGAGTTTAGTGAAGATGGAGAAAAATGTCTAAAAAGCACAAATGTTGCAGAGGCTACTTCGAAGATATTGTGTTTATTTGTTGCTTCCCCATTTTATTTTAATGGAACATGCGGAGTATTTCATTGCTAGTTTTGCTAAGCAACAAAAATTGCTTGCGATGCTCCAAAACAAAAACAGAAACAAACACCCGGATAAATTGCAAATGACACAAAAATGAAGTAGAGCCCAACACACGCTTGCTGCTGAGAGCGGCATGTTTAGAAGCCCGAGCAGCCCAGTAATCTATTATGCTCGTATGCCCCAAAAGCTATGCAACATATTTGCAACAGCAAATAATAACATGCCATATTTACATACGAATAACTGTGTCTGTGTACGAGTGTGTGTGTGTGTTTGAGTGTGCTTTTGTTTTCTATTTGCACGCTTGTTATTGTGCGGTTTATGGATATCAATGAACTTTAAATTGCAGCACTCCACGAAATGTGCAACTGTGTGCGCCTAAAAGTATGTAGCTATGCAATAATAAACAGCAGTGCGGCAGGCAGACACATTTATAGGCAAATTTTATGCCACACACCCTCACACACACACGCACACACTCACACAGACAGAAAGCTCGCGCATGATAGCACATGTGATCGTTGGTCAGCCGCTAAATAGTCATTAGAATTTGTTAGGTTGGCGCAGGGAGGAGGGGGCGGGGCCGGGGCTGGGGCCGTTACTACAAAGAGCGACACGCCAGCTGAGGCCAGGGTGTGTGTGTTAGTGTGCGTTTATAAATAACTCAGCGTTATGGCACTTTTTTTGTTTTTTTATAATTACAACAAACACGCAGTGTCTGCGCAACATTTGCGACTTCGTCGTACAAAATTGCCAACAAGCGACAAAAAACGCGGTCGCGTTTTTCCCTTTCGCTGCGGTGGTTAGTCGGATTTTTGGCGGCAAAACACGCGAGGGAGTTTTGATGGCGTGCTATTATTATTGTTGTTGTAGTTGCTGATGCCTTTTGCTTGTCGTTAATTATTTATTAATACTTTAAGTGCATTCATTATGCAATTTTCCGAGAGATTCCATCAATTCTTCTACTGCTTACATTTTTAAGTATATGCTGACTTGTGGCGTGGTCAAGGATCTTTTTCCGGTTACAATAAAATTCGTTTTACATTTTTGTGAACCGTGTTTTATTATTTATTTGAAAGCTCCGCCAATTTCCCGCACAACACGCCGCACTGCGAACAAACGAGAAACGAGAGCGAACACAACCGCGCGCCACGAGTTTCGTCGTCAGACTGATTGCGGCTCGCCGACGAAGCGGCGCACGAGGCACGAAGACATTGGCCAGCAAATCGTCGTTCTGGCTACGCTGTCGGCGACGGCGGGGGTGGGTGGATGTTGGGTTGGTGGTGCTGCGAACGAATCAGACAACTGTGATTTTTGTTGTTGGCGCGCTCTGCTTTAACATTGCTTTGCCTTTCGTTTTTTTTTTGCTGTTGGCAACTTTTTTTTCTAACTTTTGGTTTATTTGTAAACACACTGCGGGTGTATGTGTGTGTGCTGGCATGCGTTGCCCAATGAGGGGGTGGCGTGAAACTCACCACAGTTGAAAGCCGAGCGATTGAATTGAAAGCCAATGGGGAAATTTACTCTGCACACCATTTTCTTTTTTCATTTCAACGGCGTGGCGTAAACGTCGAAGCCGATTTATGAATGAAATTTTGTGGGTGTGTGGTTGAATGTTTGTGTTGGTTTGCGAAGGATGTTAAGTTGCTTGTGTGTGTGTTTGTGTGTGCATGTGTGTGAGGACTAAAGTGCGTGCTAAGTAAAAACTTAGTGTCAGTGGTCATGGCAGTGGTTTGTCAGCAACAAACAATGTGTGTGTGTGTGTGTGTGTAATTGTAAAAACCTATTTATTTGTTTATTAGTTTATGTTTTTTAATGCTTAAAATATTTTCAGTTAAATTCTATTTTCGAAGGCTTTGAAAAACTACACTGTGAAATAAGAAACCTAAGAACTATATTAGAGTCATTAATTTAACCTGAAATAATGAAACTATTTATATGTATAATTATATAATCACAGAGGACTCTTTCTGCTATCCACCTAGATGCTATACACATCGGTCTGCTGCTTTCGCCATCCTTTGATTGATTAGTGACACTATATTCAGCTTAATTAGCTCATCTTTTTACAGTTTTGTGATTCTACTTAATCCACTTTCAACCACATTGGGTTTCCAATGGCTTCAGCAAATTTCACAGTCTCCAGTTGTGTAATTTCTAGTTGCTCTAGAGCAAGAAGCATGTACTTTCTAAGTACCGGACAATAAAAATTAAGTCATTAAATGGATTGCCAATTGAAAACTATATTCTTTTTCCGTTGTAGGAGTTGCAGTTGTTTTTATGTTGACTTCGATCAATAAATATATGAATTGGTCTTTCTCAATAAGTAAATCATAAAGATATAACAAATACAAAAATAATCTTTTTAATTTTATCGCTTTATATACTACTTAAAATAGATGTGCCTCCTCTGTACGTGTCCCAACTATTCCAAGCAATATAGGCATTATTATAATTATGAAAAATACGACTATTTTATTGCTAATGGTGTTCGAAAGAGTAACACTTGGTTGCTATAACACATCGCATTGGCATTGAGTTCACAAGATTTTCAAAATTCTTGGATTAATAGAGCTACTTCCCAAGCTCTGCAACATTAGATTCTCAATTGGCTTGAGATCTGCTGACTGTGCACGAGTGCTTGGATATTTACTTTAAACCGGTGGCATAGAGCAGCATAATCGCCTTTCATCATTTAAAGATACTCTACACGCGAAGAGTAAAATAGGTTGTTAGGTTTGTACAAGGGATCTAACAAGCAGAAGGAAGCATATTCTACCCCATTAAGTGTATATATTCTTGATCAGCATGACGAGAAGAATGGATTTAGACCTGTCCGTCCGTCTATCTGGATGAACGCCCCTGGGCAGCATAAGCTTAATTTAATTAAATGATTTTCCTCGCTCCCCCACTTCAGAATACATTCTATACTGTCCAAATTTCCAAAATAATATTAGCCAAACTTTGCACTCGTAATAAATATATTCTTCTCTACTTCCGGATCAAATTTTATCCAAATCGATTGATTTTGGTTTCTGCGGCGGCAGTTTGTTTGAGTATAGAGTATTTCATGTCGGGTTTTCGCGACTGTAGAAATGGTTCGTGGCTGTAAAACCAATCAAAAATTATTAAGCTTCAGAATTGACAATTCACTTTGAAAACTAGTTTAGTTCAGCGTGTATTGATTAGTCTCTGGAACCGTTAACAATAACAAATTATTGTGTACTGCAGCATGAACCGCGCATGCCGTGCCCCAAGCTGTGTGCCACACACATACATTAACGCACACACACACACATCCACGCTGTGTGAGTTTTTCAATAACCGTACCTGATTGTATCAGGCACTGGTTGCTTCCCAGGACGACGCGACGTCATTTGCCAACTTAATTGCACACATATATCAGTTCCAGACCAGTTCTCAGACCCGAAGCACTCGTCTAATCACCACACCCCCTGCCCCTCCCCCTCCCACACACACACACCCACACACACACCCACACACACACCCACACACTTATGGGGCAGCCTATCATTTTCACACAACACACGCACAGCCAATAAATAATAGAATAGAAACTACAACTAAAACAACGAGTCTGGCAAGGAAATTCTGGCCAAGCTGCAACGTTCAAATTATGGCTATAAAGCAAAAATGTTGAAAAGGAAATCCGCGCTGCCGTCGCTTCGACGAAACTCGTCGCTCGTCGCTCGCCGTTCGCCGTTCACCATTCATAGTTCCTCAAGTTTGCATTGCGTGCCACTGCACTTCTGCCACAAATCATTCTCGCTGTGCCAGAGATGTGTCTCGGACGTGATTGTGGAAGCAGCAAATCGTGCCAGAACGACTTCAGCAGACATAAGCTTTGTTTCAACAATCTCTCCTATGGCATCTATATGACACATACAGTTTCATTTCATTTCATTTACTCACAAGAATTGGCTCATAAACTGGTGGTTACCTATAATTAGCTAATAATAAAGAGTACAGGTTATAAAACCTTATCCACTTAATTATATATAAAGTGTGTGTTTTACAGTCTATGAGTGAACGGACAGTTTCTAATATATAAAAAAACCGGGGAAAAACTTTAATAAAAAACCCATGAGTAGCTAACTTATAAGCTCCTTATAGTATATATAGTATACTTAAGAACAAGAATCTGAAGCAATGCTAATAATATTAGAATATGTCGAACAAGTACATCTGTTAACGAAATCACAAGTTAAACGTGTAAGCCTATCGGCTACCATTTCAGTACATGATACATTATGAAGGTCTGTAGTAGAGTGGTTCCAGGGCAGATTTACATAAAATAGAAGAATAGGAATATAATAATATAAAAATTCTCCCACAGTACATTCTGATTGTCGAAAAAGGCTATCAATAGCGAGCCCTAGTCTGCGGACCTAAGAGAGGAGTTCTTTTTTTACGGTTCCACGAGCTTAGTGTTAATTCTAAGACTACTGATATAGTTTGACCCATTTTTAGGAGTATCGTGGTAGAGTTTTCATACTCATCGTGGAGTTACATATGTTTTTAGCCGATGGATAGATGCTGTGACCGATTGATAGACCATAGAAGAGCCAACCTACTGATCAATACGAATCAATTTCTGAATCAAGTTAGCTCGACACTTTGTACCAAACTTCTTGTGCTGTATATACTTGTATGTATGTATCTGTATGTAATAGTTGTTGTTGTACGAGTATATATTGATATGAGGCTTTCCAAAAAACTATTTCGATTGTTTTTCTTGCATAAATCAATGAAAGGATTGTCATACCTTTTCAGTTTTTCTTGCATTTTCCTATCCACATTCAACACATGGCTTTTCTTCATTGATTTTCTGTTATTTTTGTTTTGTTATTCGATGGCAGCTTACTGGCATGTTGGCCAAAGTATTGCTTTACTAGCTAAGAAAGAATCTTTTTCCAGAAGTGTTTTTCTTGGATTGTCTCTTTCTCAAATATGTTGTGAGTTGCTAAGGAAGATTTCCTACGTAAATTCAATTATTAAACGGAAAAACTTTAATGAAAAATAAATTTGAAGGCTTTTTAATTGAGTGAGGAGAATGTGTGTCAAAAATTAGGGCTGCTTACCATTAGGGTTACGTACTATGTTTATGAATAGTATTAATTTATCTTTCAAAAACAATTTCATATAATGCTAAGCATAGTCCGCTGTCGAAAAATAAGTTTGAATGGTAAAATTTTTCCAACACAGCTGAGACTAAGAATGCAACTCAAGAGATATATTTTTTGAAATATTTAATATATTTAAAAGTGATAATAGTCTGAACTTAAGGAACAAATTAAGCATCGCTATGTGGCTGTAGATCTGCCGGATTCAATCCTAACTCTAAGCAATTACAATTCAGTGGAAGATTGATGGCTTGCCTGTCGATGTCGATGAATTGCTATTCGATAGGTGTCTATAGCTACCTATACAACCTCAAATTAATCCCGAAATACTAGTATTATATTTAAATTCTTTCAATTGGAAACTGTTTTGATCACGTATCACTATCAATCGATAAATATCCTAGGATCCGAACTGAAGATAGACCATCAGAATTGCGCGGCTCACGATTAACTCACGCACTCATCCCTTGCACTGCTTTCTAACACTTAGAAACATAACGTTGAGCAAAGGGTTAGCTGGGAAAACTAGTGTGTATGTTTGTGTGTGTGTTTGTGTTTGGAATCCAACTCTATATATTTCAAGTTTCTTTCGCTTCCTTGGCAACTTTGGCGTCGCTTCCTTCTGGCTGCTTGTTTGTAGCCCCTTTTTTGGCCTGGCTAATATAAATTTTGACACCTGATAATTGCTTTTCACTCGCTTCCGCGTTTTGTGTGTTGGATGCGACTCTGCCGATGACGATGACGGCGCTGACGACGACAGCTTTAGCAGCGTTGGCAACACTGCTCCATAATTGTGCCTGAGCATGCAAAGATGTTTGCTTTTTGTGGGGGCAGGGGCGCCGACTGAGTTGCCAAAGTATGGCAACAACTGCTATAAATTATAACTAAATTTTCGCTTTGCATTTTTACGGCTTAATAGACACAAGTTGTGAGTTATG